GACACGTGGCTGTCCTGCCACCAGCCCTGGAACCTGGCCTCCCCTGGCCTCTGGAGTTTGGCTCTCCAGTCTCCATGGAGTTTTCTGTCCTAACCTCTGGAGTACAGCCCTCCAACTAGAGGAACCAAATGTGCTCTGGGAAGGAGAGAACTTGGGCCTGACGAACCTTTCTTGTGAGGGATTTTCAAACTGTGCTTTGGAGAGCAAGAGGTAGAAGTTCCTTACTGCTCTCAAGGGATAATCCCATTTGTACGTGGAAGAGAGGGGTCTCTGGTGGGCCAAGAAGTTATTCTGGATGATTTTTTAAGACCTCAGGGTCTTTTTCCCTATGGCAGCTTTGGTTGACATTTCTAGTGGTCAGGTGAGTCGAGTGAAGCAGGTGTCTCAGGGACTGGAGACTGACCTGATTTTACAACATGACCTGATCTGGAACTAAGTTTCCCTGTCTGTAAAATAGAAATTACATTGTTGTGGGGGAGAAAACAGCTTTACACCTACCAGTGAAAATCTGTATTTTCACTCTGCTTCTAGTCCCTCCCATATATATCTTCATTCCTACTGAGCAAACCCTTAAAGGGTCAGTTGTGGAGAAGGCAGATGAGGAAGGTGAGGTCCTTTGCCTCTGGAGGTCAGTCTTGCAGAGAGTAACACCCTAAGTCCATGGGCTAAATTCAGCCCACCATCTGCTTTTCACAAGCAAAGATTTCACATTTTTATAATGGAGCCAACCTAGTAGGCACAGAAACATAAAAAAGAGAAAACTAATTTTCTAAACAAGTCCAAATAGGTTTTCAGCATGATAATGCAAGATGCTAGTGAGCTTATACAGCATAACTTGCCACCTCATGGGCATTTCCCCATATAGGCCCAGCATGGTTCTTCTTCAGTGTCTCTTTTTGGAGCTGTACCTGATTTTATTACCAGTTATTATCTGAATGCATTGGAAGATGGGGTGATTCTGCTTTTGTTTCTTGGCCAAGAATTGCTTGATCCCAAAAGTCTTGTGAAAAGATCTGGCCAGGCACAGTCACGTGCAGACAACTCAATGGCAGGAAAGAAGAGAAAGCTTACCATCTGTTTTTGTAAATAAAATTTTATTGGAGCACAAGTATCTATTTATGTATTGTCTGTAGCTGTCTTCTTGCAAAATGGTAGCACTGAGTAGTTGCAACAGAGAACATGTGACCCACAAAACTTAAAATATTTACAGTCTGATCCTTTTACAGAAAAATTTGCTGATCCCTGCCCTGCTGTAATATAGACAGACTATGAGAGAAATTAAATGAAAGACTCTGAGACAGTGGTAAATGCTACAAAGGAACAAGATAATAGGCTATAACAATTAGGGTCAGCTTCTTGGCAGAAGCAGCCTTTACACTTTGTGACTCTCCCATCTCCCAGAAAAGTGGCCTGAGCTGAGGTAACAGTAAAGGCAAAGCCCTGAGGGCAGAAAGAGCTAAAAAGACTAAAGGTGAATCAATGAAGCTGGTGCTCAGCAAGGTGGCCATGGTGGTAAGGGTGAGGGGAGCATGAGCTGCACCTAATTGGCATCCTGTAAATGGAGTAAAATACTTAGTTTTTATTTGAAGGGTAATGGGAGGTTCTGGAAGATTTCAGTGGGGAAGAGAATAGCATGTTCCCCTTTTTTTTTTTTTTTTTAAACGTAATGCAATTGTGGGGAGGGTGCTAGAATAGTCCAGGCCAATGATGTTGGTGCTCTGCAACAGCAGCAGAAGGAACAAACAGAAAATCTGGTTTGCATTTTAGAGGAAGAACCAACAGAAAATGCTCCTCTTATATATGAAGGGAGGAGAGGGATAAGAAGTGGTGCTTGTGTTTTTTTTTTTTTTAAAGATTTATTTATTTATACAAGAACAGGGGTACAGGCCAGATGCGCAGGAGGGTGAGAGGATTCACCAGAGACAGTGGGGAACAGAACAGGCAGACTGACGAAATACACTGCTGAGGGGAGCAGTGGGCGAGACAGGAGAGGTCTGCTTCACCATGTGGGTTGCTTCAAGGCTGGTGGGGATCGAATCCGCACTGCAGAGGCTGCGGACAGCTTCACAGCACTGTGCTCAACCGCCTGCGCCACCAGGGAGGCCCAATGTGCTTGGTTTTTTTGCTCCAAGCGACTTGAGAACAGATACAGTTGATTTAGAAGCCCAGTTTTGGCATCAACCAAAACTGTGGGGAGACTGTTGCGGCAATCTTTTTGTGATTTCCTTGGGCTCTTGCACCATCTGTAAAATGGGTTGTTGTCTCTTGGCAAAGGGATTTCAAAGAGAAGCCATCCAATTAGCATAAATACAGTTGTTCTCTCTTAAGCTGAGGTCCCTGAACAGCTGGCTGGTTTTCATCTCCTCTCCCTCCCTAACTCCTTTTTCTAAGTCAGGTTAAGGCCCAGATACTGGCTTTTGACAGGTCCATAGGACCTGAACCTCACTCTGGTGACTGTCTTCTCCTTGCCATCTCCTTTCTGCCCCTTCTCTTCAGTTCTGGTTCCTCCAGTGTTATGGTGTCTGACAAGTAGCCAATGCTGGGACCACTGCTCAACATCCAGGCTCTGGAGCGAAGGACACGTGGGTTCACGGTTCCTGCTACTCATTGAGCCTGTGGGCTTGGGTGAGAAGACTCTGGGCCAGACTCTTTTGGGACAAATCTGAGGGATGGGAAATGGTGTTCTGACCCCTCCTTGGATGGTTAATGACTAGATTAGCTACTTAAAAAAACCTGGGATTAAGAAAAAGTCTAGGATCGTGTCTATAACCGCAGATTACATATAAACACAATTATTAATTTTAGCCTTAATATTTCAGCCCTCCTGGACCCTGCCTTTGTGTGTAACTCCTAACAATCAGAGGGTCTGAGCTTCACTTTTGGCAGGCCTTTCCCATCAGCTCTTGTGTGTATAAATGCATTTACTTATAAATTTTATATTACAGAAATGTAAAAATATACCATATTTTTAAACTGTGTTCTGGTGTTTTGTGTGGGAGGTACACCTTCTCTTTTCAACTCGGCTTACCTTGATGGCTTATTTATTGTGGTGAAAAATACCTAACATGTACCACCCTGGCCATTTTTAATTGTCTAGTAGTACAAGCCATATGCATATTGTTGCGCAACAGATCTCAGGTAACGTATTGTAAAACAAACTGCATTCTCTCTCCTCCCTCCCACTAGTCGTCTAGTACCTTCATTTTACTTTGTTTCTGAGAGTTTGGCTACTTTAAATAACTCAAATAAGTAAGAACTGGAAGCATGTCTTTTTGTGACTGGGTTATTTTTCTTGGCATAATGGCCACAAGTTCCCTTCATATTGTAGCACATGACAGAACTTCTTTTTCTTTTTTGTTGGGGTTTCATTTTTTTAAAGGCTGGATAATATTCCATTGTACATCTACACTACATTTCTTGATCCATTCATCCAAAGATGTAAGATCTTGGCTACTGTGAATAATTCAGTGATGATGAGCATGCAAAGATCTCAAGCTCTTGTTTTCAATTCTTTTGAATATACATATTCAGAAATGGGATTGTTACCATATGACAATTCTATTTTTAATTTTTTGAGGAACCAGCTCACTTTTCTGCTGCTGCTGCAAGAGTAGCAGCAGCAACAGCAGCAGCAGGACCATTTCACATCTCTAACAGTATACATGTATCCTAATCTCTTATCTTCTCCCCAATGTTTGTTATTTGGCTAGTGGCCATCCAGATGGGGATGAGGTGATCTCTTACTATGCCTTTGATTTGCATTTCACTGATGATTAGTGAAGCTGAGTACCTTTTCATATATGCTTGTTTGTGAAACAAACAAGCTTCTTTGGGGAAATGCCCATTCAAAGCGCTTGCCGGTTTTAAAATCAGTTGCCTTTGAGTTGTAGGAGTTATTAAAATTATTACTATGTTCTGGATAGTAACCCCTTATTAGATATATGGTTTCTATATATTTTCTCACATTTTATAGGTTGTCCTTTTACTTTGTTGTTTCCTTTGCTGTGCGGAGGATTTATTTGGTATAGTCCCACTTGTTTATTTTAGTTTCTGGTGTTACTATGAAATTCAATGTTATGAAGCTTCTTCCCATATTTTCTTCTAGCTTCATTTTTTTTTTTTTTTTAAAGATTTATTTTTTTATGCACACAAGAACTGGGGTACAGGCCAGAGGTGCAGGGGATGAGAGGATTCACCAGAGACAGAGTGGAGAGCAGAACAGGCAGATCTACTGAAATACACTGCCAAGGGGAGCAGTGGGCAAGGCATGAGAGGTCTGCTGTGCCATGTGGGTCACCTCCCTGGCTGGGGATTGAACTCGTGCTGTAGTGGCTGCGGACAGCTTCAAAGTGCTGCGTCTTAACTCCTTGCGCCACCAGGGAGGCCCCTCTAGCTTCATTTTTCTTTCAGCTTCGTTCTGGTGATGTGGTATCCCATTTTCCCAACACGATTTGTTGAAGGGAGCATTCTTTCCCAGGTTCTGGGGTGTGTGTGCGTGTGTGTATGTGTGCGCGCGTTTTAACACATAGGCTGCGGGTGTGGCCAACCTCCCTACACTGTGAACTCTTTGGCGCTATCCCCATATCTTGTGCTGCGTCAAGATTTTCTGGAGTAGGTGCTACTGGCGCCTTCTTATAGATGAGGGCTCGGGAAACTGAGGCTGCGTTGTTACAGTGAGCAAATTGGTGGAGATATGGCTGTAACTGAGGGCATGAACTCAAAAGCCTTCATGCTGGGACCTCCAGGGGATGCGCCCAGTTTTACCCAAGCAAGCAGGAAAGAATGAAGAATGAATGAACCTCTCAGGCAGGCTCCCAGCAAACCGCGGAGCTTGGAAGAGCCCACTGCTCTGCGCAGGGGTGCATTGCCGCCCCGCGCATGCGTGGCTCCTGCTCAGGGGGCCACTCCACTCCATCTGCCCACACATGGTACAGCCTCTCTCCTCATGGTACGTCCTGCCTTACCCCATGCCTGGGCTGGGGTGGTACGTTCCGCCTCCGCTCGCTGCCCCTCCCCGTTGGTTTCCGCGCGAAAAGCTGGGCCGCCTGTGCTGTCGCCGGCTCTGCTGCAGCTTCCGAGATGCCTGCCCGCACAGCCCCTGCCCGAGTGCCCACGCTGGCTTCCCGGGCTATCTCACTGCCCGACGATGTCCGCAGGCGGTAGGTGCCGCCGGGGACCGCGGACTCGGCGGGGGGGAGGTGGCACGGCACTGGGTGTGGGGGGGTTCCTTCCCCTCTGGGTAGCCTGTGGCTGCTGCTGACAGACGGGCACGCATGCGCAGGATGGCGCGGCGCGCAGCGGCTGTTGGCGGGGACTGGGCGGCACTTCCGGTCGCGCGCCCCTGGTCGTTTGGCGCCAAAATGGGCCAAGACCCCCTCACAGCTCTGGGCGATTAGAGAAACTTGGGGTCTCTTCTGACTTCAAAGTAGAGTGAGCTCTGGATTGCCTCGGGGCATCCCTTTTCCGGAGCAGCCACGCGCCCTCCTTCTGCCACCAGTCTGGTGGCGCAGGAAGTGGGCAGCCCGCAGCCTCAGGACACCCCTTGGCCGGGGCACTCCGGCCTCCACTTCCGGTGCCTGATCCTCTGTTGGGGGTGTAAGGGCTTGGGGGCATTTTCGGTGTTGGGGTTCTCTTGGAGCCCCGGTGCTGCCTGCCCCATGGCGGCCTTCCCAGACGGACATTGCCGGTTGGCGCCCTGGTGTGGCCGGCTCAGGTTTGCGAGCCCCGTTTTCCTTGGGGGGCTCCCTCCAGCATCTCCAACTGCTGGGGAAGTCACATTCTGGAAGGAACTCTTACCAAACAACGCAGGGCAAGGACTCGAGCAGCGTGAAGGCTGAATGGTCTTTTTTAAGCAAATCTGTGCTTGCCTATGAGCCATGGGTGTCAAGGCAGTTTTGCTGGGGACAACTGGCTGCAGTTTCCAGTGTGTGTAGGGGTGGCGGGAGTGAGGGGGCGACAGTTAACTTAGGGGACTGGCAACAGCAAATCTGTGCACATGCGTCGGCGGGAAGACCTTGTGGACCCGGCTTCTCGATCAGGAAGGCCACCAAGTACTCCTGAAAACTTATTCCAAGTGAGGTGTGCATTAGTCTCAGGAATCTTGGCCAGGCCCGAACACTTCCATTCGGGTTTGTGGACCCAGTTTTGCCAATTCCTTGTGCTTGCTACCTATGGTTGTGCCAGGCCCGTCCTGCTTTGGGTTTTTGGGGGTGGTGTGGGGTGTTTTTGGGTCTCCCTACCAGGTATTTAAGTTTCAAGCCACTTTACTGTATTTACAGGGGGTGTGTCTTGTTGAAGAATCTCTGTCCCCCAAGATATAACATGACTTAAAATAGCAGTGGAGTTATGAGCCCCTGATTTCATGATCCACTCAGAGAAGTTAGGACCCAGCCTTCTTTGTTTTGACCTTCAGAGCTCTGCCTCCACTGACTTGATGACCTTGGGCAAGTGTCATAAACAAGTTATATCTTTGGACTGGGATAACCAAGGTGGGATTTAAACTACTGGGTAAACTTTAAACTTTTAACCCAGCAATAAAGGCCCACATGTTAGCATTGATAACAGCTACTGTAGCTAGCTAGCTTTTTTTCAGTTCTCAATCACTAATTGTATAAAACACTTTACATTATCTCATTTAATTTTCAAGAGGTCTTAAGAGTAGGTACCACAGGAGTCCACTGCTAACAAGTGTGGCTTTCTGCTGAGATCCACTTTTTGCCAAGTCCATTCCCTTCAATTAAGGATTTTGAAGAGGCCACTGGTTCAGGGGTTTTACTGGGCCAGCACATGTTTCATTTGAATGAACTTGAATGTTCTTAAGCAAGATTTTTTAAATCCACCATTCCCCCGTGTTCACTACTTGAACTAGATTTGGCAACAATAGATGTAGTTTTAGACTATGTGGTGGATATTGAAATTGTTATGTGACCCTCTCAACAGCTTTTTGTATACTTTGAAATATTTCACTGTACAAAAAAATACATAAACACAGTGTTCAGCAACACTCCTTAAACTTAGAATTGTAAGTGGAGGTATTGTTGGACTTAATGAAAATTAGTGGAGAAATAGAATCTAAAATAGGTACCTAAGTCTAGTAGAGACTTTTTTTTAATTCTCATAGCTGCCTAGGAAGTAGTTTTTTTTGTTTTTGTTTTTGTTTTTTTTTAAGATTTATCTATTTGTGCATACAATAGCTGGGGCACAAGCCAGAGATGCAGGCCGGGCAGGGTTGAGAGGATTCACCAGAGACAAAGTGGGGAACAGAACAGGCAGATGGACTGAAATGCACTGCCGAGGGGAGCAGCAGGCGAGACAGGAGGTCTGCTTCGCCATGTAGGTTTCTCTCTGGCTGGCCAGGGATTGAACTCGAGCTGCAGAGGCTGTGTGTGGATTGTCTCACAGTGTGGTGCTTAACCCCTTGCGCCGCCAAGGAGGCTTTTTTTTTTTTTGAGGGAGGCTCTTTTTTAGTAAGTTTTAACTCCAGTATTTAGGTCCATGAAACACTTTGAGCTAATTTTCTTTTTTTTTTAAAGATTTATTTACGCATACAAGAACTGGAGTACAGGCCAGAGGTATGGGGGGCAGTGAGAGGACTCACCAGAGACAGAGTGGGGAACAGAACAGGCAGGTGTGTGTGTGTGGGGGTGAGAGGACACTCCAGAGACAGAGTGGGGAACAGAACAGGCAGATTGACTGAAATACACTGTTGAGGGGAGCAGCAGGGGAGCCAGGAGAGATCTGCACCATGCCGGTCGCTCCCTGGCCGGGGATCGAACTGGTGCAACAGTGGCTGCGGATAGCTTCATAGGTTGTGTCTTAACCCCTTGTGCCAACAGGGAGGCCCTAATAGAGACTCAAGGACATTAGGGCTGCTCCTCATTTATGTGTTTCTGTCACTTCTAACTTGTTACATCAATTTCTTTTTTAAATGCACATTTGGTTCCTTTACTTAGATAATGATGCTAGAAAGTATAGCCAGTTTTTGAGTTTGTCTTTAATTTTTTTTTAACCTATAACATACCTTAAATCTTTTGCAATCTTTTTTTTTTAATTTTTTTTTTTTAATAGAGGCATGTTTATTTATTTATTTGTTTGTTTGTTTTGTTCATACATGCACTGGGTACAGTCAGAAGCGCGGGAGGGCGAGAGAATTCACCAGAGCCAGAGCGGGGAGCAGAGCAGGCAGAAGGACCGAAGTACACTGCTGAGGGGAGCAGCGGGCGGCAGGAGAGGTCTGCGGGCCATGTGGGACCCTCCTCTGGTGGCCAGAGAGCAGCTGGGGATTGAACCGGCGTCGCAGAGGCTGCGGGCAGCTTCGCAACCCAGCGCTCAACCGCTGCGCCACCGGGGAGGCCCTTTTGCAATCTTCTAAAACTCATGCCTTTCTGGACAAGTTACAACTTTACATTTGATTTTTCTTATCTGTCTAGCTTAGCTCTGTGCTGAAAAATAGAATTCTTCTGTTCTCCTGTTGCCCTTAGGTAAAAGTAGAAACCACGATTTTTTTTTTAAAACAAGTTGGAACCAGCGGTTGCCTTGCTCCACACACTGACTGATATACTTGACCTGAAGTCCAGAATTCCCCTCTATTGGTGTGCCTCATCTTATGCTTTTCTCACAGGCCACACAGGCTTGAGATTAGGCAGAGTGACCAGTATGAGACCACTTAGAAATGGACTATAGGGGTTCACATCATGCTTACTCCTTCTTCAAGGTGGCTACTAACTTGAAGGTGGTGTATCCCTAAGACTGTGCTCAGAAAGAATCCCCTTTTCCCTTAAGATATGATTTCTGTCAGTGCACTCCTTGTGCCGTCTCTGCAAACCCAGTTAATGGTGACTTGTCAGAGCACATTTACCTTATTGTATGTGGAATGTGGTAGAGACTCATGCTTGCATGCCAGACTTTGCCCTTTAATGATGCTTAGATTTCCACGCTGATCCTAGCTCCCTCCTTTGTACAATGCTGATTAAATGCCGTTGCAATTTTGAAAGCATTCTTCTTCGCTAGTTATTAAACCAAGTTTTAGTTTTTTAGTTCAGTGGCTTCTACTGAATAGAACAAAGCTGATCCCCCCACTTTTCCCTGTGATAAGGTTCTAGAGGTGCAGGACTACTGGGGTTCAATCTCCCCCTACCCCCAACCATGTAGCTGTGTGGCTAAACTATTTAATATCTTGGTGTCTTGTTGCTTTATCTGTAAGATGGTCAAGGAACTTCCTGCTTTGCCAGGATTTTATGAAGAAGGAGCTGACAGGTATAAATGTGATAGAGTAGCACCTACACTGGCTCTCACGTGGTCACCAGTGGATTTCCATTTTCATTATACCAACGTGTAGTGTATAGCAGGTAGAGCAAAGCTGTTTGCTTATCATTCCAGTGTTTTTGCCTGGCTTTTTGTAGAATGGTCTGGACTTGCTCCTTCTGCTGCCTCCTTATCTTATGTGCCAAGTGACCGGTCCTCCTGATAGGCATTCTTCTCGCAAGGGTTGAGAAGGCTTTCTGTCCTCTCATCTCTTCAGTATCTTGCTGCTTGATTGTTTGTATCCTTGACTTTTGTGGTGCTGTTTTTACTACCAAGGAGTCTCTTCCCTAATTACCCTCCTTCCCTCTTTCTTTCATTCTTGGATTTTGATTACTTTAGGTCCTTCTCCTAGTTCTACTTTTAATATTTGGGGTGCCAGCTGGAAATTGCTACCTTCAGTTTTGATGCCTCTCTTGACATGGTTATTCAGCAGTTAGAAATTATCTAGATAGTTACTGTTCCTGAAATATCACTCTGAAAGCTTATGGCTGTCTTACTCTCCTTTCTGTTACCCTACTAATTTTTAATTGTGGCTATAGCATATTACCACAATCTTTTTTTTTTTTTTTAAAGATTTATTTTTTTATTTATACAAGCACTGGGTACAGTCAGAAGCATGGGAGGGTGAGAGAATTCACCAGAGCAGAGCTGGGAGCAGAGCAGGCAGAAGGACCGAAGTACACTGCTGAGGTCTGCGCACCATGTGGGACCCTCCTCCGGTGGCCGGGGAGTGGCCGGGGATTGAACTGGCACTGCAGAGGCTGCTGGCAGCTTCGCAACCCAGCGCTCAACCGCTGCGCCACCGGGGAGGCCCCCTATTACCACAATCTAATGAGTGAAATAAAGCAAAAAAATGTATCTCACCTTTTTGGAGGTTAGAAATCTGGTGTGGTTCTGGCTGGATTAAAAGTGTAGTGTCATAAAGCTGCATTTTTTTGGAGATTCTAGGGTAGACTCTGCTTCTTACTCTTCTTAGGTTGTCGGCAGATTCAGTTCCTTGCCATTGTAACACCAAGGCCCCTAAGCTGAGGGTCATTCCAAGCTTCTGGAGGTGATAGCATCCCCTTCTTCCCTCTTTAATGCCAGCAAAATCAGTCCTCAAATTGCATCTCTCTAATCCTTTTGTAGTGTTTTTTTTTTTCTTGAAATGCAGCTGGGAAGTTTCTTTGCTCTTAAGGGTTTGAGTAATTGAGTCCAACTGGATAATCTAGGATAACTTCCATTTCAAAGGTTATAACCTGAATTACATCTGCACAGCCACTTTAGCCAAGTAAGGTAGCATACTCACAGGTTGTGGGGTTTAAGGCACAGACATCTTTGGAGATGGCTTGTTATCCTGCTTACTGCAGATACCATCAGAGAGCCCCACCCCCATGCAACAGTCACAAGAGGCAGAGTTAAATGCAGCTTTGTTACTTCTCTAGTATGATCCCCACAACTGCTGCTAAACCATCTTTCAGACCAGCATTTCTAGTTTAGGGTGTTAAGGTTATTTAATATTGTGTAATCTCTTCATATCTAATCTATATTATATATTTCTGCAAGATTAGTTTTCCCACAGCAAGGCTCTGATATCTTGGGTTCCTCCTTCTTCATGACTCCTTCAGCAGTTTGTTAATATGAAGCAAATTGATGACTTAACCTGATATTCCTTACCTCCCTCAGACTGGCACCCAGCCTCTTCTCTCTGGACTTGCCTTTCCACCTCTGTCGCCCTGACTTGTGTTAGTTTCTTGGGTGTATCCTGAACTAGGTCCCCTGCTGCTGCTCTGTTCAGGCAGTTCCTCTGCTCAGCGCCTAGCAGACTGTACACTCCCACATACCTCTCCTTCCCAACATTGTTAATATCCCTTCTCTTGATGGAGTCTCTCAGAGTTGAACTGTAATTGCCTTTCTTCTGCATAGCATCTCTGTGTATTTTAGCTCCCTTGTAAGACTACTCTGTTTGCTCTGAAGGAAGCAACTAGAGATAAATCATGGGGTCTCAGGCTAGAAGTGGGTAAGGTTTTAGCTCTTCTATCACATGGTCGCTGTTTTGTGAGTATTCTGAGTGGTCTTTCACATCCATTTCTGATCTTCCTGACTGGGAATGTAAAGGTGATTTAGGTGGTATCATCAGTTTTACTGGGGAGAGGGCAGATTCCAGAGAGGATCGGGGGGAAAGACCACACTGCCAACACCTTGGGCTCTGACTTTGGTTCTTGGGCCATGTGAGTTAAATCCATTCTTCATGAGGCAAGACATTTGAATTCTGAAGATTTGTTTCTCTTTGCTAAGCTAAGCATTCCAGTTCAGAAAGAATTAGGCTCTCAGGTCTGTCTTGTGCCCAGATGTAGGACTTGTTGGCATTTCTGAAAAGGGTACCTTGGTGGGCTCAGTCCATTGAGCTGTATCCTTAACATTTGTAATCACCTTAGAATCAAGGGACTGTCCAGCTCGTCAAGGTAGGAGCTGTGTGTCCTGTGGCACAGTCTTGTGAGCAGGGTGACTGAGAAGTCAGATATGCTCCTGCAGCCGCATATGCTCTGGCTGTGAGTGCCCAGTTCTGCAGCTGTCCTCATGTAAGGCTCTCCCAGGTCTCGAGTTACTTTGAGGGTAGAATGACTTTGGCTTGGAAGGGGCTCCATGTGCTTCTGGACAGCTTGATTATAAATCTCCTTGAGTTCGAATTATACAACATATATAATACAGTACACATTGCCGCTTAATTTGCGGGCTCAGTATCTCCTCTGCAGAAAGGTCTTTCTTGACTCCCCATCAAGTCAGGAGGTCCCTGCCTGATAGTGCCTATGTGTAGTCACCCAGTTTACTGCTTGGAATGGGACCTGGCACAGACACTAGTTGCTCACAGTGAGAGCCTGTTGGAGCTAGAAGCAGAGTCCGCATGCTCCTGGAGTAGCCACCGTGTGACATTGGCCCAGTGAAGCATATCACTCAGATCTCTGGCTTTGCATTGAACACTTGCCCTCTGGACAGGCCAGTTTGGAAGTGTTCTGTTTCTCCCCTTTGGGCTAGTGATTACTGAGTACCTAATCTGTGTGGGTGCTGGGTGATAAAGAGTCCAGAGGTGGTGGAAGCCTAGTCCCTGCCCAGGGCTCTACCTCTTCACTGACAGACACTCGCTCAGCTGGTTCGACCTGTTCTCACCTGCTGCCCATAGGTGGCACCCATACTGGGAACACCAGCCTCTTCACTTTCCTTTCTTCAGTGACTTCTGTGCTTGTTCCTTTATTCTTTTTTCCACCTTCTCCCCCAAAAGAGGTAAGACACGAATCTTCAATAATCAAATCAGACCTCGATTTTCCCAGCCAAACTCTTGAGAGTTAGGTACTTCTGCGTGATTAGATAACCAACATTCTGAAGGATGAGCAGCCAGCCAGCTTTCTAACTTCAGCCGTCTGCCTTGCATGAGGGCACCCCTTGCTGTCCCAGATGCTTTGACTCCTCAGTATCTTATATTTCTCATTAGAAACACACCATCCCCTATCCCAGCCTCTGGGAATATCGACTGAGGACTGCTTGCACATCCTGTGTCCCTGGTCCCCTTATTCTGACACCCATGGTATACTCTGCAGGAAGACTACTACCCGTGGCTCACCTAACCTCCAGAAAGACCCCAGTGGTGTGACCTGCTCCTTTCCCAGCCCTTGATAAAATACATACTTTATTATAGAGCTCTTATATCATCTCTCAGCGTCAGAAAAACCACTCTCAAAATGACTTCTTAGCATTTATATCAGGGCCTTCTGGACATCGTGGGGTGGGACCCACCATATTTTTTTCTGATGCTCATGTTAAACTTATCTCCAAGATTCGTTAATACTGTGGTATTCTTACAGGTAAGCAAGTTACTTAACAAGCATTTCTCTCTTGTTTTCTTCCCCCAGGCTCAAAGATTTGGAAAGAGATAGTTTAACAGAAAAGGTAATCTCCTTTAAAAAATCAATTACCAACTGTGACTATTTCATAAAAAGCTTTTATGAAATAAAAAGGTTTTCTTTAAGTGGAATTGTCTTTGTGGGAAAAAGTTTTTTAGGATTATTTGGATCGTTTTTCTATTTAATGTGCTGCATTAATATGCTACTGATATTAGTTGACAAGTTTCCAAAACTAGGTCCCAAGCCATCAGTTCTGAGTTATAACTTGTCCTGGTCACATTGTTTTCAGAAGTACAGTTTTGTTCTAATACACTATTAGGTGTCTCTCTTTCACCTCTAATCTTCAATTTTTTTTTTTACCACCCTGGAGATGGTGTAATATGATCTTAATGGAGACATCATAAACAGGTCTGATGAATGTGAAGTTTTTGATTGAAGCAGTACTGTCTGTTGTCAGTCATTGTTATACAACCACACAGCTTAATTATTTGTGTTATTAGTCCATCAGTTAATAGTTTGGAAGTTTGGGACTTCTAAACCTGTGTCCTTCCCTTAGGAGTGTGTGAAGGAGAAATTGAATCTCTTGCATGAATTTCTGCAAACAGAAATTAAGAATCAGCTATGTGACTTGGAAACCAAATTGCATAAAGAAGAATTATCGGAGGTAAGTTAGTTCTCAGCTTCACAACTTCTAGAATGCATCCTCCTATGTAACTTGTCTGTGAATCCCCACCTTTCTATGTTATCCTTTCTTGCTGTAGGAACGTTATCTGGCTAAAGTAAAATCCCTTTTAAATAAAGATTTGTCCTTGGAGAACGGAGCACATGCTTTCAGTCGGGAAGTGAATGGATGTCTAGAGAACGGGAGCCAGACAAGTGGTGAAAACCACAGAGTGGGAATGGCGGATGCAAACAAGTCTCCCAAAACTGTTTCCAAGCCTTGCACACCCAGGAGAAGCAAGTCTGATGGAGAAACGAAGTGTAAGAACTCTTGACTGGTTTAACTTTGACAGACTTGTACCACGTACGGGGACATACTTGGAGCCATAGTTACCCTTGGGCAGTACTTCTGGTTTGTTTTTTGTGTATATATTTCCTAATCTAGTAAGTACTGCATACTTCCTAACTCCCTTACATGTATACTTCTTTAAATTGTCTTTGACCAAGCATAGAGCATTAGATCCTAACACATGGCTAAACTTATAAGGTGTGATATAACAGGCATGAGATAACAGGCGCTGCTAATATTTCTTCTAAGTTATATGCCTATTTAAGCTAAACATTTATTCCTCAACTCCTTCCCAGTTTGTAGTCATGGGACTTGATTTCAGGTCCGGTTTTTGGCCACTTCATCTTTTGATGATACAAGGGGAGGTTGTGGTTCAGGGTATGGCTCCTCAAGAGCTCACGTAAAATGGCTCTGTAAACTAGCAGTGCAAATGCTGACTTTATTGAGATGGTGGCTGATTAGAGTAAGATGGATACTTAATCCTCAGAACCTGGTTCTCAGCACTAGCTTGGTAATGCTGAAGAACTGAACCTTTGCTGTGAGCTTTTTTATTCATAGTGGCTTTTTTTTTCCCTCTCAACAGCCGACGTTTCACCTAGCCCCAGGATTACAAGGCAAACTACCAGGCAGACCACCATCACATCTCATTTTGCAAGGGGGTCAGTATATAATGAATTGACAGCCGCCATTTCTAGGGGCCAGTTGTTTTTGGTAAACATGAATGGAATTAGTAGGGTGTAACTTAGCAATTCAGACTTCCACATTGCATAAGTTTTCATCTTGAAGATCATTAGACGTTCACGAACAACCTTTCCGAAGCCTCATTATATTCACTCTTATTTTAGGAAACTTGAAGTCGACACAAAATTAGGGAGGATAGTAAAATGAAGCAAGTATCCATCACCTAGTATCAGCAGTTGTCAGCTCTTGCCCATTGCTTCATTTATACCCCCATACCCTCTATTCCCCCAACTGGATTACTTTGAAACAAATTCCAGACATATCATTTCATCCATAAATATTTCAGTATATTTTTAGAGGAGGTCTCTTTCGTTGACAGCTTTATAATTCTTACTTTGCTATAATTGCTAACACTTAGCAAAGTCTCTTTTTAAAAACAAAATATTTAAAAAATACTATTTTCATGCCTTATAAAGTATAACAATTCCTTATTGTCAGGTTCACATACTCACATGTGGCAAACAAACCACATTTTGCTGATTTGTTCCGTAAGCCTTCTGAATCATAGACTCCTTTCCTTTTTATTTTCTTGCCATTTATTTGAACAAAATGACCATTTGTCCAGTAGTTTGTAGATCTGGTTGACTGTATCCTGTGGTGATTAATGTGTTATTCTGTCTCACGATTCCTATAGTGAGTTGATCAGGTTCCAACTTTATATTTTGAGACTTTTTATAGATGGTGTTTTGTGCTTCCATCAGAGGCATGGAATGTACCTTCCATAATACTAGTGGCTTTTGATTAATATCTAGTTCCACAATTTTTTAGGGTTGCAAAATGGAGATATTCTAAACCCATCATTCAGTGGAACATTAAACTTGAAGCCTTTTTCAACATCCTGGCAACAAGGGCTTATCCTTGGAGGGGAGAGGGCGTCCATGCCCTGAATTTGTCCTAAAGAGAATGCATTTGGTAGGGAGGACTATAAGTCATTTTGCATTGGAGGTCTAACATCTGGCTGAGTTAACAGTTGATTTTATTGTGTGTGTGACAGCCCTGCCAAACGGAAACCTGAGGAAGAGACTGAAAGAGCAAAATTGGAAGATACTGTTGATGAAGAAGAAAAAGACCAGGTAGGCCTGGCATTTCAGCTTTCTTAACTTGCCTTCGTTGGCACATTTGCTGGTAATCATGACTATACTTGGCTTCTCTAATGTACGTGGAGTGACCGAGAAGGTATTAGAACATATCCCTGGACCCAGGGTGATACGTGATATATGGTGATTAGACTCAACGGCTCAACAATTGAGGCAGCCCCATAATTTCAGAGCCTGCTGTCTACCTTCCTCCCTCTCTTGCTGACAAATCATGTCTGCTGATTTGATTAAAGCATTTACTTTTGATGTTAGCTAAACCTTTACTTTGCTCACTTCTAATTTCTCTGTAAAAACAGATTAGTACATTTGTTGTATGTAATATAATAATGCTGTTTACTACTTACGCTAGAAAACTGGTGGCTTGCCACAGGCCTCTAGTACATAAAATACTAATCTGATGGTAGTACCATGTGACTTAAGGAAGACCAAACCTAATCGCTTCTCACCCTTTTGGCTAAGATCAAGTGTAGAAAGGCCAAACCTAGATAACACCAAATGGTCACATTATATCAAGTTTGAATTTTTGCTGCAGGATTAGTTGTGTAAATCAAGATGGGGTTCTCTAGGTTTATGTATGGTAGTAAATGCCTTACTGCTACCTAGTGAAGGTGAATATCCACAGTTTGCTCTGAGCAGGGTTTCTCAGCCATGACATTGACTTTTGAGGCCAGATAATCCTTGGCTGTGGAGGTTGGTGCTATGCATTATAAGAGTATATAGCAGCATCCCAACCACTACTCAATGCCCTCTGCCCCCTCCCAGTTGTGGCAACCAAAATCTCTAGGCATTGCCAGGTTTTCCCTGGGGGTCAGAATTACCCCCATGTGAAAAACAGTGAACTAAGGGACCACTCAGTGATCACTGGGTCACAGTAGTATCATTATGATGAGCTTGACATCCTGTTGTAAGAATGCTAATTCTTCTATCTTATTCTTGGAAATTGGACATCACTGTTCATGCTCTTTACTCATAACTTTAGTTAGGTTTAGTTACACTACCCCCTCTAGTGGGAAACTGACAGAGGGACGAGGTTTGTTTAAGTCAGTGAACATTTTCTCTGTTGGAGAAAAATGCATCATAGGTGAAAGCAACTGGCTCTTGTAATAACAACTTTTTTTTTTACATGTACCAGTTGAGTTGTTTCTTAAAGTCTAACCTTTTGGGGGCTTCAGAGCCTTTTCATCTGATTTCTAAGGAAGCACTCTAAGAGCCATGTTTCTAAGCAGGAAGCTATTTCACTGGCAGTGTATGTGAGGCCTTGGGGACTTCGTGGGTGAACACTCGTAAAAACAGTATTTATTTAATATGCTAGCGTAAACCTTGGAGTACCAAACCAAGATGGTGCTCTCAGCTGGGCAAATAACTAAGATGGAGATAAACTTTCATCAGTTTAGTCTTGAGAATTTGTTGTAAAAAATGGGTTACACATGCATTTTGTGAAGTGTCCAAACAGTACAAAGGATGTACAGTGTATCGATTTCCCTTCCATCCTTTTTCCCTGAACCTCTAGTTTGCCTTTCTTAATGACAGGTACTTCTCAGTTTATTCTCTATTTTTTCACATGTTATATATATATATATATATATATATGTATGCTATAAGTTTGTGTGTGTGTGTGTATGTGTGTGTGTATATATATATATATACACACACACATACATTAGTATAGTGTAGTCATATAAAATCTGTAGTCAGGGTTCTCTAAAGAAACAGAACCAGTAGATTGTGTGTATATGTACTTTTAAGTAATTGGTTCATACAATTATGAAACTGGGAAGTCTGAAATATGGAGGACATTCCAACAAGCTAGAGACCTGAAAAGAGTTGATGTTGCAACTCGAGCCTGGAGGCAGAATTTTAATTATACACTCTTACATAATTCAGATTTTTAAGATGTTTTACATAATGTAATACTGAGGTTCTATGTAATTTGCCCAGCTTTCCTCAAGGGCAACATCTCACATACTGTAATAAAATAGCAAAACCAGGAAAATGACTTTGATACAATCTACAGATTTCATACACATACAGCTCTTACACACACACACACACACACACATGTGTGTGTATGTATGCATGTATGCATGTGTGGATTCTTGTAACCTCTACTTCAAGCAAGATACACATCTGTTTCATCACCATGGTATTTTTATCCCTTTTAAATTACAAAAATATCCTGGAGATGGCAAATACCATGAACTTAGGGAAATAGTATACTGAGGTATTCATCTGAGAAAGGAGCTGTTGTCCTGTTTTAGGTGATCGTCACTTCATGATGTGAATTGCTATTGCTATTTTTTTTTAATAAAGAATTACTGCTGTGAGCTGTAGGATCTTTGGTACCATCCCTGGACAGTCTCTAGTACAAGACAGGGCCAGCCCCTGGGTTGGCCAAAGTCCTTGTCCTGCCACCATAAAAAAGCCATCAGTATCTCTGATGGTTGCCCAGATCTCCTCACCAAACCCAGACCACCTTTCCCCCACCTTCTTTTTAATCATCAGATGTATTTAATATTTTGATAGATACTTTTGGATTTTGATCTTTTGAAATGAATATTATTTTTTCTCTTCCTCCCTTCTCTCTACATAGGAGGAAAAGAGACGTAGAGTTACATCCAGAGAACCGTAAGAATAATTAATATACCTTTTTTTGTTTTGTGCAGTGTGTAATCTTGATTACTGAAATGACTTTCTTGAAGTTTACAATGCTTTTAAGTGAGTTGTTATGTTGGCCATAGTATGAGGATGCTGAATTGGGGTCAGATGGTTAGCCTTTTGATTAGGGTAGAATTTCCTTAGATTGAATTGAAGGTAACTGGAAGTTGTTATCAGAACCAAATTTAAAGGTCATATTTAATACTAAATGTTAAAGTAGTATGTCCCTTTCAGGGTTCCTGAGGTGAAGTTTGCATTTTGGGATAGGAAGGGAGGCAGTTATGGAAACTGCTTGTGTGGGAAGAATGTGTGAAAGTCACAGGGGTTTGTGATTTTTTTGCTTGACAGAGTTCCTGGACCACTCCCTGAAGAACCAGAAAGAATAAAACCAGGGACACACATGGAAGAGGAGGAAGAAAGAGAGGAAAAAGTACAGCCTGGTCAAGTTTGTTGTTTCTACCTTAATCTCAGAGTTCCTGTTTTATTCTAAGAAGGGGCTTGGAGTGGGAAGCATGTGGCCACAGAGTAACTGTCACTCAAGATCAAGATGACCTTAATTTTAGCTAAAACTTCTTTCGGGCTCATTTTTCTGGTGGTTCTCTCGAAGATGGGTTATATGACTATGATGATAAGTCATGTTAGACCTGAGAATCATCTGGATCTTTGCTACTGTGTCAATTTCAAGGTCTTAGCGGAGATCAGACTTTCAAACACATGATGTGCTAAAATTCTATAAATGTAAAGTTGCGTTCTTAACTTGAACTGGTTGGTTCGTTCACTAGACTTCAAGCTCCTTTGTAAAAATCAGAGTTTAAGGTTCTGCGAAGCACAGATGTACCCCCTCAATGCCCTTGGAAAGGGGGTGGTAGAAGGGCGTGGGGTGTGGGTGGATCTGATACTAGAAACTTTGCTATTAGAGAGCTCTGTCCTATATGACATAGACTGACAGTGGACAGTCACAGTGGACAGTCACAGGTGATGTAATCCTGTTTTTGTTTTGTTTCATGTAAGGATTTTCATTAGAAGTTTCTTATAAACTTAGATGGGTAGTGAGTGCCTTTATTAGGGACCTATTAAAGGCAGATCTGTTTGCTCTAGTGGAGGAACAGCTACGATGTGTGGTAATTATTGAGCCATTTGGAATATTTGAAGATAGTAATTTTTTAAAATTTATTTACTTATACGTACATAAGGTAGGCTAGAGGGCTACAGGCTAGAGGTGCAGGGGGTGAGAGGATTCACCAGAGACAGAGTGGGGAGCAAAACAGGTGGATCTACTGAAATACACTTCTGAGGGAAGTAGCAGGCAATGCAGGAGAGGTCTGCTGCGCCATGTGGGTTAGCTCCCTGGCCAGGGATCGAACTGAGGCTAAAATGGCTGGCAATAGCTTGATAGCACTGAGACTTCAACCCCTGCGCCACCAGGGAGGCCCCTTGAAGGGTGTCTTTAATTGATCACTTTCTCATCCCTGATACTAGTTAAGATTAGATAAAGTCAGGATGCACTTCAAATTCATCTCAGAACAGGCAATCCTAGTGGGTTAGTTCAACTACTACCCTCTAAAGAGGGAGCTTTGGGAAAGATTAAAATAGCCTCCCATGGTCAGACTCCCAGGATCTCTTCCTTCAGTAGGGAGCAATATGTTCGTTTTCTTAACACCACCAACCTTTGTGGTCTCTTCACAAAATGTGTGGAGCTTGAGATTGAATTTAATTTGAGTGCTTTTCTGTAGAGCTGTGTTCAGAGCCTTAAACTTGGATTTGATAGATTTGAGACAGAACGCTCATCCAAATTGGGTCATCCAATGCATGACTTTATTACAGATTCCTAGTTTTGATATAGTTATTATTTATGAGGCTGTTGGCATTTACTGAAGGCAAGTTAATTGAGGATTTTTGGAGGTAAAATACTTCAACTGCAGGATCTGTATTCTGAATCTAATTTCCTGCCTTAACTCCACCAAAAATTGTCTTCCAGGTAAACAATATTTATTCCCAACTAGACTGTAAGATCAGTTTACATATATTTTATTTCCATAAGGCACTATAATAGAAAGATCACAACAAAGTGGCATTGACAATTTTTTCCCCCTCCACTTAGGAAGAAAGGAGACTCAGAAGTCAAACCAAAGAACTGTAAGTATTGTTAACATGCCTTTGTGCTTTATATTGTAAAATATAGTTGCTAAAATAAGTGTTTTGATAAAAATTATGTATTAGACAGAACATTAGGTGCATTAACTATACATGTAAGATGTGGGCAATTTCTGCCTGTAGAAGTTCAGGCTACTACACTGAAGACTGAGTTCAGCTGGGATTCTTGTCTCCACCCCAGGTTCTTCCTCACTGGTGGTCATGTAGTAAGCAGTTTGTTGGACACTGTTAAATGTCCACTGTTTTTTTTTTTTTTTTTTTTTTTTTAAGATTTATTTATTTATGCATACAGGAGCTGGGGTACAGGCCAGAGGTGTGGGGGGCGGGTGAGAGGATTCACCAGAGACAGAGTGGGGAACAGAACAGGCAGATCTTCTGAAATATACTGCTAAGGGGAGTAGTGGGCGAGACAGGAGAGGTCTGCTGCGCCATGTGGGTATCTCCCTGGCTGGCTGGGTATCAAACTCATGCTGCAGAGGCTGCGGATTGCTTCATAGTGCTGTATTTAACCTCTTACACCACCAGGGAGACTCTAAATGTCCACTGTTAAATGAATAAGCAGTGATGCCCTTTACTGATAGCTCTAAAAAATGGTGTGTAAAAAACACCCCAAAGCTGGCTTAGGACAGTAAGCATTTGAGCTTGCAAGTCTGACTTGCTGGCTGTCAGCAGATCTTGGCTAGCCAGGCTTGTTGGTGTCAACTGGGCTGATCCATATCTGTCTGATGGCTTGGCCAGCCTGGGTATGTTCGGATGGCAGAATACAAGGCAAATACTGAACCTGGGCCTAAGTCTAAGGTGGGCATAACACCAGAACCCAGTAGCAAGGCCCTGGCAGAAGGAGAGGTGAAGACATGAGCCCAGGGGTGCAGTGTACTCTCCATGGTTGCTGATGCAGACAAGCTCTCTGGAACCTATGAAGGGCCAGCCTCAGCCTATCCCTTCCTCTTTAGGCAGAATTCCCATCAACTTAGAGAAATGAGTAGAGTCCTGTTGGTCTTGTTTTAAACTTCAACATCTCTCAGCATTGTTCATATGAATTGCTGATGGCATTTCTAGAAATCAAAAGTTCCAAAGTAATAAATGCCTTCCAGCTTCACTAAAGTGAAGATACTTGTCTTCAGATGGGAAAGACCACCCATGCTCTAAGTCTGGGACAGATTCTGTGAGCCCTTGTTGGGGCCATTTGAAATGGTGTCAGGCTCCCTGTGCTGACTGCTTGTTTGTGTTTTGTTTTGTGACAGAACACCTAAACAGAAAGTTAAGGAAGAACTGGACAGAGAAGCAAGACCTGGTGTTCAGGCTGAAATGGTGGATGAAGGGGATGAGAAAGTAAAGACTGAGTCTTTGTTACTTTATTTTATTCCTGTGTTCCCGTTAATTGGGAGAAATGGTGTAGGGCAAGGTTGTGGGTTCAAATCCAACCCTACCTACTCTTGTGGGCAGGTTTCCTAATTCCCTTCATGGGGGTTAGTAGTTGCCACAGAATGGCAGTGCCTGATTCACAATGAGCATTAGTTGTCTGTTCATCCATAGCAGTGGAAAGGCCTGTATGTGCCTTAGCTAAGCTGTGTGTGAATTTAGCTTCTCTTGATCCTCCCCACTAAGAAGACTAGATGTATTTCAGCCAAGATAATGTGTTCCAGTCAGGCTATTGAACTTTTTTAGTCTAGCTCCCCAACATCTACTCCTCCCCTCCCCCACAGCCTCCACATTTCAGCTAAGTGAACACACTTCAACTCTAAAATATACATTGAGCTTGATGAGCCTCAGGAAAAGTACAGAACAGTAAGATTGTCTGTAGGACTGCCCTACCTGAGCTCCAGGGGAAGAGGATACCCATGGGGTGACTGTAGGACAGGACCCTCCTGAAGCAGTTTGGTCCCTGTCTAAGAGTCTGAACTAGGATAATCTTGTGATTGTCTCCAGGGCTTTCTGTTGAGATCTAGAGTGGAACCCAAGGGCACAGACTTACTGGGTGATGAGTGTACTCACTTTTGACTTGATTGACTGTGGTGTTCATTCTTTTTTATTTTTTTATGTGGTGTTCATTCTTGTCCTATAGCAGATGATCCTTTTGGTGTCACCTCCACTTTGCTCTGACACTTTATTGTCTCTTACCTTTTTTGCCCAGGTATTGTTTAGCTTCCTGTCAGCACTTGCTCTAGAATCTGTTTGGATGCAGAGATCTTAGCAGTGTCAGACTGCTTATTCTCTGAAAGCAGAAACTGGCAGGAACTGTAGATCACACAGGTTTGCCTCATAGTAGAAACGGATGTTCAAACATTAGACGTTTGCCAATATTGTTGATTCTTCTAAGAAATCAGTTCATTTTTTTTTTAAATGAAGATGAGCTAAATTTGCCAGAAAGACATTGTTTTTTATATGTAGACTAAAGATACTATATTGTCCACATGTAACAGGAAATTCACCAAGGTGGGAATTGCTACTCTTTATTAAATTTTACATTCTAAGTTCTTATTTTCCCTACCATCCCAGTGTCTTTCTCTGTGATGTCTTTACCCTTGACCAGATGACAGATGGAGTTAAGCATTTTGGGCGACATAAGCAAAATGACTGTAATATGCTTCCTTTTCCTTGAGCTATCCTAGAATAGAGGTTAACAAACTGTGGCCTGTTTTGTAAATATTGCTGGAACACAGTCATGCCTTTTCACTTGCTTATTGTCCATGACTGCTTTTGTGCTGCATATAGTAGGGTTTAGTAGCTGTGACAAGGACCATGAGACTTGTAAATCTGAAAATGTTATTTTCTGGCCCTTAATACAGTCTAACTCCAGGTCAATTCTTGTTTTGGAGGGTTGGTTCAGGAATGAGCTAACAATGTGAAAGCCCATCTTTACCTTGTACATCTATTCTGATCTACTGTTCTCTGTTCCATAGCACTGTGATCATTAACTGATACTTTGTTGGTGTCTGTTCTTAGAGACTAATTTTTTTTTTTTTAATCTCTCCACCCCTGCTTCACCCTCTCAGGATGAAAAGAGGCACAGAAGTCAACCCAAAGATCTGTGAGTCGTTAAAATGTTTATGCTTCTGTGCTGTGCTTGTGTAACTGAAACTCAAATAACTAGAGACTTATGACCATGTAGAGGTTTACAGGGATTTGTGGTACTCCTGGAAGATGGGTCACTTTGGGCGGGGTGGATAAGAAATCAGATCCTGGGGCCTCCCCGGTGGCGCAGCGGTTGAGCGCTGGGTTGCGAAGCTGTCCGCGGCCTCTATGGCGCTGGTTCGATCCCCGGCTGCTCCCCGGCCACTGGAGGAGGGTCCCACATGGCGCGCAGACCTCTCCTGCCGCCTGCTGCTCCCCTCAGCAGTGTACTTCGGTTCTTCTGCCTGCTCTGCTCCCCGCTCTGGCTCTGGTGAATTCTCTCACCCTCCCGCGCTTCTGACTGTACCCAGTGCATGTATAAACAAAAAACAAACAAACAAACAAATAAATAAATAAATAAAACATGCCTCTATTAAAAAAAAAAAAGAAAAGAAATCAGATCCTGGATCCCATTCTTATCCTCCGCCACTTGAGCAGTACTCCTGTTACTTCACGGAGTCACATGTGTTTCTTAGCTTCTAGTACCCCACATCTAAGGGGTTACACAAGGCTTCTGAAGGCCTTGTTTTAGGGTTACAAAATAGGAGCCACCATGATGGAAGGGCTTTCTTTTTTGGATGGGAGGAATCTGTTCCCCACATATATTCTGAACATTATGCCTTTTGATAAGATATTATGTCTTTTTTTGATGCAAATTGGCCATAATGTTTTTCTGAGCTAGTAACCTTTGGTATATATTTGTTTACGCAACAGAGCTGCCAAACGGAGACCTGAAGAGAAAGAACCTGAAAGAGTGAAACCACAAGTTTCTGATGAAAAAGATGAGGATGAAAAGGTAAGATTCTGTTTCAGTTCTCCCATATTTTATGTATCCCAAGGTGATCTTTTTTTTTTTTTTTTTAAGATTTATTTATTTATGCATACAAGAACTGGGGTACAGACCAGAGGTGTGGAGGGTGAGAAGATTCACCAGAGACAGAGTGGGGAACAGACCAGGCAGATGAACTGAAATACACTGCTGAGGGGAGCAGCGGGCAAGTCAGGAGAGGTCTGCTACACCATGTGCGTAGCTCCCTGGTCGGGGATCGAACTCGTGCTGCATGGCTGTGGATAGCCTCATAGGCTGCGTCTTAACCCCTTGCGCCACCAGGGAGGCCCTCCCAAGGTGATCTTTTAAAAAATAAACTATGGAACCATTCAGACTTACCCAAAAGTGGGAATAAGAGATAAGCAAACCATTATGTTCTCATCCCCTTAAAATATCAATAAGGGTTTTTCAGTCAAGCCTCATCGTCCATTCTCCTCAGTGTCCCTTGTTCCTGGATGAGAACAAACTCCATGCATATTACTGAAATTGATAGATGAACTAGTTCTAAAGGGAAGGTACTCTTAAATGTCCCATTACCATGCCAGCACGTTACCAGTCCAACGTAATGTCAAATCTAGCTGTTCAAATTTCTGTTTGTTGCCATTGTTTGTATACAGTCACAGTCTACAATGTCTACAAAGTGAATTTGGTTGACATTTGTCCTAAATGTCTCAGCTATCATTTCTCCCCTTTTACTTGTAATTTGTGGAAGGAACCAACTTATTTCTAGAGTTTTGGGATTTTTAGAGTTTGAGTTTTGCCATTTGTACCCCACTCAGATTTCACATCTCTCTCCAACCCTGTCTCTGCAGACTGGTAGTTGGGTCTGGAGACTTGATCAGTTGCAGGTCTTGTTTTCCAGAGTCCTTCTGAGGTGTCATGTCCTTCTGTGTCTTCACACCAGAAGGCACAGTTGGCATCTTATAAGAATGATCATTGGGCTCAGGTGCTGTCTGCCTGATTGATCTATTATGAAGTCCTCCTCAACTTTTCCCCTAGTGTTTTTTAATAGTAATTGTTTAAAAAAAAATAGTAATTGTTTAAAATACATTCTTTTGTTTCCTGTACCCAAAGTAGTTCTATGAATGCTTTTCCTTATGCTAGTCTGCTGAGGCTGCCATAACTTGGTTTACACAACAGATGTTTTCTCATAGTTCTGGAGACAGGAAATCTTCATAGTTCTGGAAGACAAGGTCTGAGTGCCATAGGGTTAGTTTCTTTGAGTCCTTTTTTCTTAATGGCCACCTTCTCACTCTGTCCTCACATGAGGCCTTTCCTCTGTGCGATCATGGAGGGGAAGAGTCAGCTCATCCTTTTATAAGGACACTAATTTTGTCCTGTTAGGGCCCCATCTCATTTAACTTTGGTCACCTTATTAAAACAGTATCTCCAAATATAGTCAAAATGTGAGTTTGGCAGGGGGGTGGGAGGGAGGTCACACAGTTCAGTCCATATCATCCTCATCAAGTTTACGTACCTTGAAGTACTGCTTGTATAGGAGGACTAAGCTGGTGGTGGTGGTTTTTTAAATTGTCACTCAAAAAAATATATCTTTACTTATAGGAATTTTTTTTTTTTTTTTTTTTTGATAGAGGCATGCTTTATTTGTTTGCTGGTTTGTTTGTTTGTTTGTTTTGTCTACACATGCACTGGGTACAGTCAGAAGCGCGGGAGGGTGAGAGAATTCACCAGAGCCAGAGCGGGGAGCAGAGCAGATAGAAGGACCGAAGTACACTGCTGAGGGGAGCAGCGGGCGGCAGGAGAGGTCTGCGCGCCATGTGGGACCCTCCTCCAGTGGCCGGGGAGCAGCCGGGGATCGAACCAGCGCCGCAGAGGCCGCGGGCAGCTTCGCAACCCAGCGCTCAACCGCTGAGCCACCGGGGAGGCCCTACTTATAGGAATTTTAATTACAAACTTTAGACTCTGGAGATGGCACAATTTCACTTGTTCTTTGCCTTCCTCCCTACCTCTGACTAGGTTTTGTGATAACCATGTGTAAAAAATTGTTAACTCTGAAGCATTATCCAGATGTAGAATACTTTTACACCTTCACTCTTGTTTTCTCTATGTAGGAGGAGAAGAGACGCAAAATTGCATCCAAAGAACAGTAAGAACTTATTTTTGTCTTTATACTAAATGAGTCATATTAAAATTATCTAGAAAGAAGGTAAACGGGTTTTTGTGAATTGCTAGAGTAGCCTTAGCTTTGTATCTGATAAGTCTGCTTGTATGAGGCAGACCCTCTCCATGTGGTAAAGAGACACTTGTGACCCAGCACCTCGTCCCTAATGCAAGGGTCGGTGTTTATCTGTGTCATGTGGATTAGGTATAACTTTCTGATGGGTAGAATCTGGTATGTTCTGAAATAATTTAAAAAAAAATAACCATTTTGTACTTTGTTTCCAGATCTGAGAAGAAAATGGCTCGAACCAAAACAGTAATGTCTTCTAAGGTAAATGTACATCTGGGGATAAACCTGGTGGTACAAAGTTAATGGGATTGCTTGGAGCTGACTTTGAGCACCTGTTTGTATTTCATGTCCCCCTCCCAGACTCATCCTGTGAGGTGCCTTCAGTGTGGACAGTACCTGGATGACCCAGAACTAAAGTATGAACAGTTTCTCCCTGATGCAGTAAGTTCAGCTCCATATACAGCCTTTATTTCCTGTCTTTTGTGCCCTCTGTTTAATGATTTGGTATTTCTCAGGTGGAGGAGCCGCAGTTGTTGACAAATGAGAAACTGTCCATCTTTGATGCCAATGAATCTGGCTTTGAGAGTTATGAGGCTCTTCCCCAACACAAACTGACATGCTTCAGGTAACTGATTCACTTTTGCTTCATCTAACAGGGCACTTCTTAGTGAAGCTCTTTAATACCTATCCTGCAACATTTCTCAAGCTGCTAGTGATCCATAGATAAGAACTGCAAAGCTGGTGGAAGTATAGTAGATCTTTGCAGGGACTTATTTGGTTATTAAAATGATACATGTTAAGTCTTCTGTCTGTATATATCATGAAGGTCATTCACATGAGGGCCAGCGATGTGTGAGGTACTACACCAGGTATTAGGGTGTAGTGCCCCTGTCCCTGCCTTTGTTGAGGCAGATGTTATACTTGTTGGTAGTAACAGTTACAGTTGTTGTAAAAGGCATGGTAAGCAGAGAAAACAGATGGAGGAAAGAGGTTATGTGTAGAATGGACAAGAAGTGGTTTGAACAAGGCCTCAGTGGCATAAGAGAAGATGCTGACAGGGTAGCCAGGGAAAGATGTTCCAGAACAGCAAGTATAAAGGCTCAGAGATGTGTGTGGAATGGAGAACTAGGTGAGATTGGTAAATGAGGAAAAAGGGAGTAAGTAGTGGAGGTGTAATTGAGGATCAGAGGCCTGGATTCTGAATGGCTTTGCAGACTGTGGTGATGACTCCAGATTCTTTTGGAGAGACCAGTGTTCTGATGGTGTCATGAAGATGTAGTGAGTTACTCCCTTGTGAGAGTTCCTGTCTTCCCACTGTGCTTATTACTGATCTTCTGGTGTTGCCTTTGTGGACACTTGTACTCTGATGAACAAGTGGGAGAATGGAGAAGAAACTGTTTGGGTGAGAATATTGAGCTAGTATTGATCTAGTGTTCTGTCAAACAGAAAGATAACCAAGTCTAGGAATGAAATATAGTCCCTTCACCTCCTGTCTGAACTTAACTCTGTACTGCGACTTCCCTTCACTAGTTCATAGTAAACATTCTCTGTTGCCTGTCTAGTGTGTACTGTAAGCGTGGTCACCTCTGCCCAATTGACACTGGCCTCATTGAGAAAAATGTCGAACTCTTCTTTTCTGGTTCAGCAAAACCAATATATGATGACAACCCATCCTCTGAAGGTAAGTGGAATGGTCCAGCGTGTGTTTGGGACAGGTGTTTTAAAAACAAACAAAACTTGGGCCTCCTGGTGGCGCAAGGGGTTAAGATGCAACCCTTGAAGCTATCTGCAGCCTCTGTAGCATGAGTTCAATCCCCCGGCCAGCCACATGGTGCAGCAGACCTCTCCTGACTTGCCCACTGCTCCCCTCAGTAGTGTACTTCGGTCAGTCTGCCTGTTCTGTTCCCCACTCTGTCTCTGGTGAATCCTCTCACCCCTCACACCTCTGGCCTACACCCCAGTTCTTGTATGCATAAATAAATAAATCTTTAATAAAACAAACTTGCCCGACAAAACAATTTCAACTGAAACTGTTGCCTCTAAAAGTTAGAACTTGAGACTGCACTGTGAAGATCTGTAAGCAGACTTGATTAATGGTTCTGACGACTGCCTAGCTTGGCTGATTTAGCAGCTCAGGTGGGCGGAGGAGTGCTGCTTGGCCCTTCTGACTTTTTGATGTGAGTTGTTGTAGCTCTTTAGTTCACACTCCCTTTCAGGAACTTTCTCTTTTCCCTCTCTTAGGTGGTGTTAATGGCAAAAATCTTGGTCCCATAAATGAATGGTGGATCGCTGGCTTTGATGGAGGTGAAAAGGCTCTCATGGGTTTTAGTACCTGTAAGTATATAGCCAACTGTGGACTGTTAATGGCATCTGAAAGGGGCCTCTGTGCTCCTGTCTCCCCTTGGGCTTATTGGGCTCAGGTGAGGAGTCTTCAGCAAGCTCACATGGTACGGCTTCTCCTGTTAGTCACAGCTGGCCCTGGAACTGACCCGCCGGTTGTAAGAACAGGTCGTATTCTTATAACTCAAACCTGGACCGAAAACCAGAGATGAGCTACATGAAAACCATTTGGCCAGTCTCCATTCTCTAGCTGACTTATACTGGCCACTTCTGACTGCACTAACTTGGATGATTATACTTTGTGTCTTTTGAAATTTGGGTATAGAATGACTTTTTTTGACTGTTCTCTTAGCTTTATAGACTCCTCTCTGACCTTGTGACCTGCATATCTGCCATCAGATTCAAACTGCTTTTTAAAATGTTTTCTGTTCTCATCAGCATTTGCCGACTACATTCTGATGGATCCCAATCCAGAGTATGCACCAATGTTTAGTGTGATGCAGGAGAAGATCTACATAAGTAAGATCGTGGTTGAATTCCTGCAGAGCAACCCTGACTCCACCTATGAAGATTTGATCAATAAGATTGAGGTGAGAGGGAGCGATGGCTGATCATCATCCAGACTTGATCTTTTGCCACAGGCAGGGTGGTGTTGCCATCAGAAGACTGCATGAAAAATAATGTGGCAAGTGTGTGATCTGTGACTCTCATGTGCCCTGTACCCTGGTGTGCATAAGTGGTGAATGTAACTATGGTTTTTACCAGGGGTGCTGTGTGATCTCTGGAGGCCCTGGAGTCTCTGATGCCTATTATTGTAAGGAATGTACCAACTAGGAGAAGGATAGAGATGGTTGCTTCAAAATTATTGATTTGGGGAGCTCTTAGAAGCACAAAAAATATAGCTTCAAGGAGAGATTGGTGGGCTGCCTCTTTCCCCATCAAGCTGCTGCAGCTACCAGAAAAGACACCTGTTACTGCCAGCAGAAGGGAACAGAGTGCACAATATCTCCTCAGTTGCCTGTTTTTACATGGGTACCTTTTCAACCTTTCCTCTCCTTTCACCCAGATGTGGTAGAAATGAAAAAGGACTCTTCACACAGCACTCTGGCAGACTATATCAAACAAAAACGGATAGATTAGTTCATGTTTTTTCTTGAATTCAAGAAGCAAGGTTGTTTTCAAGATTGATGTGTTCTCTCCACTAAGAACTTCTAAGATGGAAATAGCATTACTTGCAGTCTTCTGTTAGAGGAATTGACCACGAAGTTCCCTGCTGTGAGAAACGTGTTTTTTGCAGCAGCTCTGATGGTCATTGTCCTAACGAAGGGAGTAAACATGGGCACTTAATCTTGTAACCCTTACCAGACCCTGCTGATTCATGTTATTTCCCTCCCAAGAAATTGGATGCCTTTTCTGTTGCTGTTGCATTCATAAAGTGGGTATTTATTTTCTGATTAAAACAAAAAAAAAATAATTAGGTAAGAGATTTAGAATTCTTCATAATCTGGATTTAAAGCTATTTCCTTGTGGTATAGATGGGCATCATATCTAGAATTGCAAAAATGGTTTCAGTTCGATCATTTTGCTTAAGCCTAAGGAACGTACGTTGTTTCTTTTTAAAGACTACCGTTCCTCCTTCTGTGCTCAACCTGAATCGATTCACAGAGGATTCTCTCCTTCGACATGCCCAGTTTGTGGTAGAACAAGTAGAGAGTTATGATGAAGCTGGGGACAGTGATGAGCAGCCCATCTTCCTGACTCCCTGTATGAGAGACCTGATCAAGTTGGCTGGGGTCACCTTGGGGAAAAGGTAAGGATGCAGCAGGAATAAAACTGAAGACGTGAGAGCCCAGAAGGCAGCATGCCCGTGCATTCATCCTTCTAACACTGTGGCAATCTCTCCAGGCGAATGGAAAGACGTCGGACCATCAAGCATTCTGCCAAGGATAAGGACAAGAAGGACAAAGGCCCCACAAAAGCTACCACTACCAAGCTGGTCTACCAGATCTTTGACACTTTCTTCGCAGAGCAAATTGAGAAGGATGACAGAGAAGAAAAGGAGAATACATTTAAACGCCGGCGCTGTGGTGTCTGTGAGGTAACCTCACTCCCCACATAATCTGAGGAAAGCCATCCTCTCATCAGGTTGAGATTCTCACTGCTAAAATGTGACCCTAAGGTAGAAGCTGGAGAGAAAATTAGTAAAATGGGGTGACCTGTATGCCTCTAGGGACAGATTGCTGGGACAGCTATTGGATGTGTGCTTGGGAACTCTTTGCTGTTAAGGGAAGAGCCCGGCCTCCTGGGTGACTTTGCTCAGCCTATTTCTCACTTTCTGAAGGCCAGGGGTGAGTGCAGGGAAGGTGATTACTTCACAGAGGCACTGCTTCCTCCAAGCAGAGGACATGTTCCCAGGAACCTGCCTTGTTTCATGGTGCAACTTAACCCAGGAAAGCGGAGACTCTGTCCAGTTTAGATTTGAGACCTTAAAAGACCTCTCTTCCTTTGAGTTTTTTTAATATGTTCACACTGGAGGAATTAATCCCCTTAATCCTGTGGCCCAGAAATCAAACATATTTTGATAGCTATGTGATTTGACTTATGTAAAATACAGCAGATGCCTCAGAAAACACTGTGTTCACACTGTCTGCTGGGTTCAGAGCTCCTAACCAGGAATTTACATGTCCTCACTGTTTTGTAAATTAGCTTTACTTGGTTTTTATCCAGCATGTGTATCTAAACTTTTAAAATCCTTTTTATTTTATTTTTTTAAAGATTTATTTATTTATGCATTTAAGAACTGGGGTACAGGCCAGAGGTGTGTGGGAGGGGTAAGTGGATTCACCAGAGACAGAGTAGGGAACAGAACAGGCAGATTGACTGAAATACACTACTGAGGGGAGCAGGGGGCTAGTCAGGAGAGGTCTGCTGCGCCATGTGGGTAGCTCCCTGGCTGGGGTTCGAACTCGTGCTGCAGTAGCTGTGGATAGCTTTATAGGTTGCATCTTAACCCCTTGCGCTATCAGGGAGGCCCCCAAAATCCTTTTTAAACATAGCTATCTTTCTTAACTGTTTTATGTTAATAGAGGCAAATCTAGTTAACTCATTTTGAATATTGCATGGTATTTCCTTGTTGGTATATCCCAATTTATTCCTTAATGATAGGCAACTTTTGGTAACTACTGCTATAGTGACATCCTTGAACTCAGCTTCTTATGACTGTCTCTGATTAGAAGTAGAATTGCTGGGGCATGGTTTATGGACCTAACTCTGCTCTCCACAAAGTGTTGGTATCAATTTTTCCTTCAAGCAGGTTGATTTCTCACTTGTCCTCATGTGTCCCTATACTTCATGTCTAGTTTCCCTAACCTTTATTAACTTGGAGGGTGTGAGTGGTATCCTGTTCTTAATTCTTACTCCCCATACTTCTAAAGATGTTAAATATACACATTTTAAAAGTTAGAGTTTATGACAAAAGTGGTTACCATTGTTACTAATGGCCATATGATTTACTTTTTAAATATTTCTTAGGTTTGTCAACAACCTGAGTGTGGAAAATGTAAAGCCTGTAAGGATATGGTTAAATTTGGTGGTAGTGGACGGAGCAAACAGGCTTGCCTAGAGAGGAGGTAGGTTTGGCTGATGTTCTTGTAGGGGAGGAAGAGCCAGATGTCTGCCCATGCTCTTTAGGTGGGACGGCTGGGTTTAAATCTGCAGACTGATGAGGATTCCTTTGTCTGTTGCTGTCTCCAGTATCGACCTGCTGACTTTGCTTCTAAGGGGCCTCTGCTTATTTTTGTAGGTGTCCCAATATGGCCATGAAGGAGGCAGATGATGATGAAGAAGTCGATGACAATATCCCAGAGATGCCATCACCCAAAAAAATGCATCAAGGAAAGAAAAAGAAACAGAACAAGAATCGGATCTCTTGGATTGGAGAAGCAGTCAAGGTAATCCTGGAGAGACTCTCAGTCTTGTGTGTTGTTTCCTGCTAGACATCTTCAGTCTGAGCCCAGGAGTTTGAAACCTGTTCATTTGCCCATGAGAGTAATGTGATCAGCTGAGAGGTTGAGCCTCATGGCCTAGCACCAGGAAAGCATTTTTTGCTTGAAGCTGGCCTTGAAGAGAGCTGTCACAGCCCCCCTGGCCTGGGAATGCATGTTTTTTAAAGGTCAGTTCCTTTACCGCAGTTGGGGAGCAGCTGTCCTGGAAGTACTGCTTCCTTGATGGTCGTAAGCCAGAGATATGGTTGGCTCGTTCATTAAGTGTGAAACCTACCCCTTGCTGTGTGCAGCTATAGGTCTGGACGTGGCTAAGCCCCTGCCCTGTGGCACTAATGCTCCAGTGCAGGCAGACAGATACATACTCTTTTGCTAGTGGAGGGCCAGGAAGGTTTCCATGAGGAGTCTACCTGAGGCAGGACCTGAAGCAGCCAGCAGCACAGAGATTTCAGGAAGAACCATGGTAGAGACACTTGGATGGAAACTTGAAGGAGGCCTATGTGGCTGAGAGGAGTTAGTGGTGGGATGTAGCCTCAGGGGCATGGTGGGAAGTTGGGACTGGTGTTATTAAAAGTGTGAATGCTGGAATCCAACATGCTGCTGATATATACCAGGGCAGACCTGATAATGGGGATTTAAGTGATCTTTGTTGTAGGCTTCTGGCCAGGGGAGGTAGAGGTTCCTTGTCAGGATTAGGCTGATAGAGCACATGACTAATTGAAATAATGGACCTTTAAATCCAAACTCACCTGAAATTAAGCTCTCTTGTTTTCAGACTGATGGAAAGAAAAGTTATTATAAGAAAGTGTGTATCGACTCAGAGACCCTGGAAGTAGGGGACTGTGTATCTGTTATCCCAGATGATTCTTCAAAACCACTATACTTAGCAAGGTTTGTATCCTTCCCTCTGCTTGATTTCAGCATCTGCTCTCTCGCACCAGAAAAAGGAGATGCCTATTTTGTAAGAAAAGTAGCAGCAACTTTCCCTTAGACTAAAATCACAAAAAGATAGGAGTTCCCCTAACTGCGCTGAGATCTGCAGGTCAAGTTAGAACTTTCCTTCCGCCCCTTCTTCCACCTCTAGAGTCACAGCATTGTGGGAGGACAGCAGTAATGGACAGATGTTTCATGCCCACTGGTTTTGTGCTGGGACAGACACTGTCCTTGGAGCCACGTCAGATCCCCTGGAGCTGTTCCTGGTAGATGAATGTGAGGACATGCAGCTTTCATACATTCACAGCAAAGTGACGGTCGTCTATAAAGCTCCATCAGAAAACTGGGCCTTGGAGGTGAGTGGCTGGTGCCCATCCTATGTCCCTCCCTCACTGCATGGGGTTGTCACTAACACAGCACCCTTGTCCCCAAAGGGTGGCATGGATCCTGAGATCATGAAGAAGGAGGATGATGGGAAGACCTATTTCTACCAGATGTGGTATGATCAGGACTATGCCAGATTTGAGTCCCCTCCCAAAACTCAGGCAACGGACGACAACAAATATAAGTGAGTGCTCGGATGAGGCCTTGCTGTTGTCTTTCTCAGGTCTGCCTTGTGCATGCTCCAGAATGCCTTGCTTCCATGTGATCCTGAATTTTTCTAGCTTTTCATCTGCTTTCATCTGTTGGGTTTGTTTCTTCCATGCCTTCTTTGCTTTGTTCATTAACCAAGGGCTAGTCACTTTGTATTGAATTGCTTTAGGTGTCTGGACTGCTGTGCACTTGAATTTCCTTTGAGAAACTCTTATCTAGGATCAGGATGTCTTTTTCCATTTTAAACACTTTCGCATGTTTCATAGTATTTGTTCTGCAGGTCTTGGTGTTGTCTTTCATTAAGTATTTTTTCTCACAAGTGAAATCTTTAATTCCATTTTACTCTTAGCGGTAAATGACTACATTTAGGTGAGGATTTTTTTTTTTAATGTTTAGTGCCCTGCCCTCCTCCTTTGTAATCTCTGTACCTCATTTGTTCTGACTTAACTATGGTGCTGGTACAGCCAGAGCAATAGACATAGGAATTCTCCAGGCTGGAGGGTAACATCTTGCCCTGGTATTTCAAATACCTAGATTCCCCTGGTATTTCTCCCATTGGCCAGGTGCCAGTGTTTTACTTGATCTTCAATTTAAAGGCTGTCTCCAACTCTATTTCAAGGGCTTATAAATCCAGGAATAATGTTGAGTTTACCAGAGAGCTTTTCAGTCTTGCAGAGATAATGTTACAGGGCAGCCCCAATATAAAACAGGTTGCCTGGCTGTGGGTCCCCACCCGTGTGCTTAAAAGGGACTTATTAATACTCCACTGCAGGCACACACAAAAGGTTAATAAAAGGTTTATTTACAAGGGAAGGGGAAATGAGGAAATGTACAACTCAGGGAGAAAATAGGGAAATAAAGTCGTAAATGCGTCCTACCCGATCCACCCACCTGGAAACCCAGTGGCACTCTGAGAGCTGGCGGAGAGCTGAGAGCAGGCGGAGAGCCAAAAAGGAGCCCCCCAAGGCCCACATGTATGGTTTTATACCAAACCTGGCTGCTTAGCTCCACCCTCAGGTCCCAGCAACCTTCCCTTTGCTGGTGATGGGATTTGTCTTTCCCAGTGTTCTCATGGCTTTGGTCTGGAATGGGGGTGGAGTCCACAAAGCCTGTATGGAATTAGCTTAGGACATTCTTTTCCCCCTAACAATAATAGAACAAGCTTCATGATGTTGATACCAGTAGAACTACTCTTGGCATTCTTGCTGGAGATATCTTCCTAACCATATTCTAGATTTTGTTAATGTCTTGGGGGTTTTATATCAAATTCTTAGAAGTAGGATTGACTTGTCGCTTTCTTGTGTTGTGTGTATTTCTGGACTTTGGTCCCAAATAAGTGCTTTACCAATGTGACTATAAAGTATAGGAAAACTGGTTTCTTCACACAGTGTACATATTTTTCCTTGGTCACTGGGATTGAGCGAATGGTGGCAGCAACTGCTGCTGTGGTCACGACCAGTCAACTCAGGATCTTCTGCATCTGTCCTTCATTCCAGGTTCTGTGCGAGTTGTGCCCGTCTGGCTGAAATGAGGCAAAAAGAAATCCCCAGGGTCATGGAGCAGCTCGAGGACTTGGATGGCCGGATTCTCTACAGTTCAGCCACCAAGAATGGCATCCAGTATCGAGTGGGTGATGGCGTGTATCTCCCCCCGGAGGCCTTCACGTTCAAGTGAGTGCCCCTTAAGTCTAGGAGTTCCAGGGCTGATTATGTCCCCCATCTGAGACCCCTAGTACCTAAGCTGCTGCTGGAACTGTCACATTAGCATCTGAATAATATCCAGCTCTCTGATGCAGGGTGATTGTAGTTCTGCTGCAGAGTGAAGCTGTGAGTACATGAAAGAAACCAGAGAACCCATAGCCATATGACAAGCACCGTGGTCAACAGTGGGCCCTATCCCAGCTCATTCTCCCTGACCATGAGGCTTTGGGTCTGAGACCTCTTTCTTGCTGCATCTCTGATGACTAAATGAATTAAATGTGCTCAGCACAGTGCCTGGCTTAGGTGGGAAATAGAATGAATGTGTCACAGGTATTTTCCACATTTGACCTGTCATTTGTTTGTTCTAAGAAATAGTGTATGGTTGTAGTTACAACCATTGTTTCCCAAACTTAGTTGTTTCCTGACTTGTAGTTCCATTTTTCCTAGAGTCCCAGTTGGAACCCAGTCCCCTGTCTCAGCTCCGTTACTATGAATTACAAAACACAAGGGGCAGCTTCCTTCCAGCCTTAGACCTTGTGCCTCGATTCCTCTAGCACCGGCTGTCATTCACACAAAGGAAGAAGACTCCCTGCAGTGCTGTTTACCTGGTGCTCCTGACACAGTAGATGCATCAGCACAGGTGTCAGGCCTCTTTGGAGCCCTCAGATGTGAGGGGCCTGGTGGGAAAGTACAGAGCTGCTTCCTAAATGTCAGGGGTCAGGGGATGTAGCCTTACTGTCTTGGCAGCCAAGTCAGGTGGACTAACTTTCCCATAGTAATTGGACCCATTTCGACAAGCCCTGATTATGGGGCTTGTCCCCATGCCTGTGTCACCTCTAGATGAGTCCCTTGGTCAAGAGAGCACAAGTTCTGTCACTGTAACAAGCCTCAAACTGAGAGGCTTAATTAATTTCTTGCCTGGACTATGTGGCCGTCATGGTTGAATAGCAGACTTACCTGTCATTTGGGAACTTGGGCCAGTGGACCCGCAACCTTCTCAAAAGTTGTGAGTCTTTGAGCCTGGGAAGGATGCACTGGAGACTCTTTGGGCAGAAGTGCTCATGTATCACTTCTCCTCATGCTCATGGAACAGAACGCGTTCCATGCCAGGAAGTGCAATCTTTCTGAGGCTGGTAGGAAGGAAGCTGAAAATATTTGAGTCGCATTAGCTACTACTAGTAGCTACTAGTAGTAGAATCATCAGCTGGAAAAATGCTAGTTTGAAACTGGATGAGACTTCTTAGTCTTTCTCTAAATCTTTTTTTCTGTACTGTCCCAATATTAGTGTGTGTGCTGCCGAAGTAAGCATTTTCTCTAAATCCTTTTCTAGCTGTGGCAGCCTATAAGGTGTTTGAATTCAAATGGTTATTGTCACTGGTCAGCTGTGTTATAGTTTAAGGTTTAATGTCCAGTTATACATAACAGTTGCTTCTCTGTAGCATCAAGCTGTCTAGCCCTGTGAAGCGCCCACGGAAGGAGCCTGTGGATGAAGAACTGTATCCGGAGCATTACCGAAAATACTCTGATTACATCAAAGGCAGCAACCTGGATGCCCCAGAGCCATACCGAATTGGCCGCATAAAAGAGATCTTTTGTATCAAGAAGAGCAATGGTCGACCAAATGAGGCAGACATCAAGATCCGACTTAATAAGTTTTACAGGTCAGTGAAGATTGTGCTGTTCTAGATTCTTCTAGAAGGCGCTCTCTGAAACAGGGTTGTAACATCGTCTATAGGTGGTGATTTAAGAGACAGCCATTTTTTCAAGTGTTTCTTAATGATCTGGTGGGTACTGAGAATGACTATATTTCATAGTCCTTGCTCTTAGACCTTTGTTTTAAAGCTGCAGAACATTCTCTCTAAGAGAAGTCCTTGAGCAGAAGTCCAGAATATGATTAAAGCAGGGGTGAAATATCCTTTCTGCTTGAAGATCCAGGAGCCTCCTGAGTTTTATTTATGACTGCTTTCTGTTCCCTCTCCTACCTCTCCCCACTTCTGTTCTTCCTGTTCTTTCCAGGACTCCCTTCCTGTCTGAGGTTTCACTCTCTATAAGTACTTACCAAGGTTTTTACTCAGCCTTACCCTGACACCCTGATAACTATTAGTGGTTAGGAACTAATGTGAAATGACTTCTTTCAGATGGTGTAAAGTTGCTTAATTTCTTAGCTAGTGCACAGCAAAGGTCTTCTGAAGTCTTTGTAACCAGTTTTGTTGTGGTTTTTTTTTTTTTTTAAGATTTATTTATGTATACAAGAACTGGGGTACAGGCCAGAGGTGTGGAGGGTGAGAGGATTCACCAGAGACAGAGTGGGGAACAGAACAGGCAGATTGACTGAAATACACTGCTGAGGGAAGCAGTGGGTGAGTCAGGAGAGGTCTGCTGTGCCATGTGGGTCGAACTCGTGCTACAGTGGCTGCGAATAGCTTCATAGTGCTGGTGCTTAACCCTTTGTGCCACCAGGGAGGCCCCTGTAACCAGTTTTGATAATGGGAAAGAAATGAGGGCTCTGGCTCTAGATCTGCTTAATAGGAGGTAGGCAGCTGTAGTCCTGATGCAGGGTGCACATGTTTTGGCTGTGGAGCGGTTGTGAAGATCAAGCAAGCCATTCACTGAGTTCATGGCAAGGAATCTCACTTAGTTGTGTAGTACTCAGTGTCAATTAAGGGGACTAATAATCCAGCTGCCTTAATGGGGGTGGAGGGACTTTACCCTTTGATTCTCTGAGCACCCCTAGTAATGTTGTACCATTTAATTCATGGTCATTTCCCAGCAAAAAAGAGTTTCTAACGAAGTATCTTATGCTCATAGGCCAGAGAACACGCACAAGTCCACCCCGGCAAGTTACCATGCGGATATTAATCTGCTTTATTGGAGCGATGAGGAGGCTGTGGTAGACTTCAAGGCTGTGCAGGGCCGCTGCACTGTGGAATATGGGGAGGACCTGCCCGAGTGTCTGCAGGATTTCTCCGCGGGTGGCCCAGACCGCTTCTACTTCCTCGAGGTGGTGCTTGAGCTGACTGGAGGGAGGGACTTCTGATCAAACTCATATGCCTCTTCCCTACCCTCCAGAGAGGAGTTTAATTATCCAGAGTACAAATCTGATATTCTAGTTCTGGAACTTAACATAGAAAGTGTGGTATTTTGAGTGTCCTGATGCAACTAAATTTTATTTGAAGACTGTTAGGGAGCCAATTATCCCAGCCTTCGTGCCTCAGTGTGAGTTGGAGAAAAGGGTCGCTTCCCCTGGGAGGCACAGCTCTGCCCCTCAGTTCCTTTCAGTGGAGGCATCTGTGTCCAGGCTAGAGTCACAGGGGGACCTAGTTATCCAGAAAGTCTGTTGATTAAGCAAATCACTTTAAAATTGTGTAGGCATGGCTTTTCTGTGTTGGGTTCTCTGAAAATAATACACGCCTGTGTTTCTCTAGCTTCCAGAACAGATAAGTTCATCAGAAAGTAACACTTTTTTTTTTTTTTTAATTTCCAGAGTTAAAAAAATAATAGCGATTTCAGTGTTGACCCCCTAAATTTTTTTTTTTGTTTCTAGTGTATTACAATCAAAGTAACTCCTGTTGGTGGCTAATTTCTTAGGGAGAAATTAAGTGTGTGTATATCAAATTAGCTTCTTAAATAGTCTTTGTAGAGAGGAAGCCAATGTGTTTCTCTGCCAGACTATCGTGGTTCTTTCCTTCTCAGGCCTATAATGCCAAGAGCAAAAACTTTGAAGATCCTCCAAACCATGCCCGTAGCCCTGGAAATAAAGGCAAAGGGAAGGGAAAAGGTATGTTCTTCTGAGGTGTCCTTCCTAAGTCCCTCTTCTGTAACTCAGGAGTTCTTAGAGCAAAGAACAACCTCTCAGTTACCCCGCTGTACTGTTAACTACTTGCAGTGAAGTCATCTTTGAATTAATAGTGTTTGAGGAAAGCAAGTCAAGAGTTTAATTTGATTTGCATTATGCCTGTCTCCCCAGGAAAAGGCAAAGCAGCAAAGTCTCAGACATCTGAGCCAAGTGAACCAGAAGCAGAAATAAAACTGTCTAAACTGCGGACCCTGGATGTGTTCTCTGGCTGTGGGGGTTTGTCTGAAGGATTCCACCAAGCAGGTAAAGAAACACCAGGTTCTCTGCACGGCTGGTAAAACTGGATTGGGCAGATTCTGCCTGGAAGGCCTTTCTGACTCTGGTCACAGTTCTGACTCAAGACTCATTCAAGGGGCACCTTTGTCCTTGTATCATCCCCCAGGCATCTCTGAAACACTGTGGGCCATTGAAATGTGGGACCCCGCAGCCCAGGCGTTCCGACTGAACAACCCCGGGTCCACGGTATTCACAGAGGACTGCAACGTCCTGCTGAAGCTGGTCATGGCTGGGGAGACCACCAACTCCCACGGCCAGAAGCTGCCTCAGAAGGGAGATGTGGAGATGCTCTGTGGCGGGCCACCTTGCCAAGGCTTCAGTGGCATGAACCGCTTCAACTCACGTACCTACTCCAAGTTCAAAAACTCCCTGGTGGTCTCCTTTCTCAGGTAACCAGATTGGAAGCGCCTCTATGTTCAGTGCTGCCCCAGGTGTCTAGTCAGCCAGCCCCAGGACTGCGCTGTGTGTGTGCCAGGTGTGAACAGTAACCAGCTTAGCTTTCCCACCTGCTGAAGGTGTGCACCAAGGTGAGCATCTGGCCTTTGCCTTCAGGAAATTTGGTGCACTTTCCATTAGGGAGAAATGAAGTTGGGAGGTGCAGCTTCACTACACCCAAATGTTGAGCATTTGGGAAGTGGCTTCTGATAGGGTAGGTCTTCCTCTTTTCTGGAGGGTGACTTTTGCCATCTCTCCCGCCTCTTACAGCTATTGTGACTACTACCGGCCTCGCTACTTCCTCCTGGAGAATGTCAGGAACTTTGTCTCCTTCAAGCGTTCCATGGTCCTGAAACTCACCCTCCGCTGCCTCGTGCGCATGGGCTATCAGTGCACCTTTGGCGTATTGCAGGTGCGCCTTCCCAGGGAAGGGCACAGGTGGGTGGGTAGGTGGATGTGGCTGGGAAAAGGGAGGTTAGTTAGCGGTCCCTGGGCTTCAACAAAAGTTCACTAGCTGAAAATGGGTTCAAGGAGACAGACTTTTGGTGTGGTGACTATGGTGCTGGTGCAGGGTAGACACTGTTGTCCTGCCCCCAACACTGAAGCTCGCAACATTCAGATCTGAGAAGCCTCCTTTCACGTACACTTGAGGTGGTCCAAGTGTAAGGTCTTTGCTGCATGTGTCCTGCTTGTTTCCCTCAATAGGTGTGTCTAGGGAACTTTGGGTAGCAATCAGATGTCCATGGAGAGACAGCAAAAGTCAGATTGGCTCAGTGGTGCATAGCCCACACTGTTGCACAGAGTAAAAAACAAGTTATTTTGCCTGTTTGTGCTCACAAACTTCTAGAGGGTGGAAGGTCACATTCCAGGTGGCTAGCAGGGCCAGGGACAGGGATGTGTGAGGACTAGATCTCACAGAACAGCTACCCTTTGTATACCTAGTCCTCGATGGCTTGACTAAAAATAAAACATCAAAGTGGGAAGGGAAAGCTGATTGGAAATAAGTGAGCCAGTTTTGGGGCCCCTGGCTTTTCCAGTTCAGTTTCTGTGGTGTTTCTAGCTTGCTGGTCAGGACTCATTGGCAGGAGTGTTTTGTTCCTTGTAACCATACACGGTAAGGTAGGTGGCTGGACTCCTGGTATCTCTTCTGGTCGCCTTCTCCCTGAGTCTTTGGGGTCCCTCTGTAGGCTCTAAAGAGCTGATGGCATGACCACTGGGGTTCATTCCCAGCTTCCCCAGAGTTCTTTCATTTGGTCCTATCTCCTCTGATTAACAGTAAACCTACTGGGTTAATTGGGGTCTCCAGGTAAGCTTTGCACCAGCCAGCCACTTATCCCTTGATGTGGATGTGGCAGGTTGGAGGTGTCCTCTGACTATGTGTCTTGCCTTGCTATGTGCAGGCTGGTCAGTATGGCGTGGCCCAGACACGGAGGCGTGCCATCATACTGGCCGCCGCCCCTGGAGAGAAGCTCCCCCTGTTCCCAGAGCCACTGCATGTGTTCGCACCCCGGGCCTGCCAGCTCAGCGTTGTGGTGGATGACAAGAAGTTTGTCAGCAACATAACCAGGTAGGAGGCCCTATTCACCCACTGTGGGACACAGTGCCTATGAGCGGCTCTGGGGAGGTTTGCTATTGGTGAGTCTTTTTCAAGAGTCTGAGCTGAGGAGAAAATATGAGAGGAGTAGACAGTGCAGGGCTGACCTGCCAGGTGAGCACTCTGCTACCTCCAGTCTCTAGTTCTGACCCAGAGTAAATGCTGTGCAGGATGGGGGCCAGAAACCAGACTGCATCACAAGCAAAGCCCACACTGTACTGACAGAGTCTAAAAAGCATGCTGTCAAAGGGTAGTCCTCTGACCTCTGAACCAGGTAAAAAACCGTGTCTCTGAGGAGAGCAATGTCAGAGGGACCAGCAGCCAGGTATGTCCCTAGAGGTGTTAAATGTTGTGTTCTGTTGCAGGCTGAGTTCAGGTCCTTTCCGAACCATCACAGTTCGGGACACGATGTCTGACCTCCCTGAGATCCGGAATGGAGCTTCCTCACTAGAGATCTTGTACAATGGGGAGCCCCAATCGTGGTTCCAGAGGCAGCTCCGAGGATCACAGTACCAGCCCATCCTCAGGGACCACATCTGTAAGGTAACATCACTGGCAGGACCTTCTCCAGCAGCTGGCCCAACTGAGCCTATCACTTGGCCAGAATGAACATGGAAAAAAAAATTTTAAGATTTATTTATTTATGCATAGAAGAACTGGAGTATGGGCCAGAGGTGTGGAGGGTGAAAGGATCCACCAGAGACAGAGTGGGGAACAGAACAGGTGGATCTAATGAAATACATAGCTAAGGTGAATAGTGGGTGAAACAGGAGAGGTCTGCTGCGCCATATATGGGTTAGCTCCCTGGCTGGGGATTGAACCCAGGCCGTGGCAGTGATAGCACTGAGATTTAACCCCTAGGGCACCAAAGAGGCTGGGCATGAAAAATTTAAAAAAAAAATGAACTTGGGGTCAGTGCCCAGCCAGGATTGGGTTGTGGAGTAGAATTAGATTCTAGCCATCTTTCAGATCATTCTCTGCTCTTGGCCTCTAATGTAAACCACCATTTCCACTTGCTCCTGGCCTTGCCTCTTCATTGCCTTTTGCTTTTTTTCTTGCCCTCCTCCCATCCCTTTCCCCAGAAGCAATGCAGCATATCAGTCAGTCCTGCTTTGCCCAGAATAGCCCCAGAATGCTATCTGGCCACTGCACCCCTTCTGACCTCTCTTGCCCCCTGTTCTGTATATTCTCCCTCCCTCCAGGGGGCTCAGCTCAGATGAGCTGAGCTGAATTAAGCTGCTCCTTGAATTAGGCTGCTCCTTGAACCCCCCACCCCCACATTCTGCATCCCAGCTCTATTTTTGTGTTGTGTGTGATACTCAGTTGTCTTTTGGGGTTTTTCTATCCTTTAATGGTATACAAACCTCTTAAGAGTTCCTGGTCATTGTGGTGTTCCCAGGGCCTAGTGTGGTGGTACCCAGTCCCTGGAGTACACTCAGATGCTCCCTGGACTAGGTGACAGCTGGAACCTGCTGCTCTCTTCCAGGACATGAGTGCGTTGGTGGCCGCCCGAATGCGGCACATCCCTCTGGCCCCGGGCTCAGACTGGCGTGACCTGCCAAACATAGAGGTGCGGCTCTCTGATGGTACCATGGCCAGGAAGCTGCGGTACACCTACCATGACAGGAAGAACGGATGCAGCAGCACTGGGGCCCTCCGGGGGGTCTGCTCCTGTGTGGAAGGTGGGATTTCTGCCTGTGCCCTCGCTTCTGGAGTGTGATTTCCCTTGGTTTCGGGGAGGGACTATTCCCTGGGGTTTCCCTAGAAGAAGATACTGGGGGCTGCCACTAACCCAGAGGCCTTAGGTGGGACATGGACCAGATGCTCCATGTCTGGGTGTCTGCAATAAATAGCTGCTGAGAGGATTAAGTGGCAAAAATTGCCCAGGGCAATTACAGTATGGCAATTGCCATACTGCTGCCTATTCTATCCCTGGATGGGCTCTACACAAGATAGATACCTTCACAGGCCTCCCTCCTATTCTGTAACCTCAGCCTCATTGCAGCCCTTTCTTGCAGCGGGCAAAGCCTGTGACTCCACTGCCAGACAGTTCAACACCCTCATCCCCTGGTGCCTGCCTCACACTGGGAACAGGCACAACCACTGGGCTGGCCTCTATGGACGGCTGGAATGGGATGGCTTCTTTAGCACAACTGTCACCAATCCTGAGCCCATGGGCAAGCAGGTATGTCTGAGGGCTTGGCTCAGGCCTGTGAGAGACCAGAGTTGGTGGGAGGAAAGATGTCAGCCAGTGCTTCTCACTTTGCACCCCCTGTTTGAGTTAAGATAAGCTCATCTGCCAAGGCCTAAGGCTGAACTTTGCCAGGTGGGCCCTATCTTCTTTCCCTTCCCTCCCCACCAGGGCCGTGTGCTCCACCCTGAGCAGCACCGTGTGGTGAGTGTGCGGGAGTGTGCGCGCTCCCAGGGCTTCCCAGACACCTACAGACTGTTTGGCAACATCCTGGATAAGCACCGGCAGGTCAGTGAGTGGAGCCAGCCTGCTGCTTTCCTGCCTTGAAGAGGGAGTTAACTGGCATTTCACAGAGCATCGCTAAGGGAGGCCCCTCTGCCTCTATTCAGGGTGGGCATGCTTCAGTGGAGAGCCTGACATACATGGTCACTTCTGTGGGGACACTGAGCAGCCTGAGTTTGTTGACTGATTAGTCTCAGTGCTCTCCAGAGAGGGTGGCCAGGAAGGAGGGACTCTTTGGGGTCCAGAGTTCATTTAGGTCAGGCTATTGCCAAAATTTATGCAAAGGAGAGTCCGCTCACTGAACCCCAGTGAAGGAGCAGAGCATTTTGAATCATTATTGTTAAGGGTTGAAATCAACCAATTCCTAGCTGATGCTCAGGTTTTAGGTTGACTGTTTCTTAATTAGATAGACTTCCATGGAAGTATTGCACATACATACATCTCACTGGAAGTTATAGTGCAAACCTCCATTTTGCTGTCCCTTAGTTCTGGTCTGTGGAAGCAACCACTTTTAGCTGGCAGTGAAGCATGATGACCTCCCTGTCTTGATATTTGAGTTTTCCTAAAGCCCTGTAAGGCCCCCTTCTTTATTTCTTGTCACAGTGGTGTTTGGGATTGGAGGATGGGCCAATTGGTAGGTCTGAGGGCTATTGTGATGGAAGGGCTTTGGGGACCACGTGTGGGACCAGGGGCCCAGCAACCTCTTAACTGTTCTGAGCAAAGGTTGCTGTTGATCCCAGCCATGCTAAACTGGGCTTCACCCTTCTTCCCCCCTGCAGGTGGGTAATGCTGTGCCACCGCCCTTGGCCAAAGCCATCGGCTTAGAGATCAAGCGCTGTATGTTGGCCAAAGCTCGAGAGAGTGCCTCAGGTATGGTGGGACTGTATGGAGCAGGGTTCCTTTCCTAGGGTGTGTACAGGGGAGGAGGATAGCCAGGCACAGATAACCCTGAACCCTCATACTCAGTCACCCAGCCTCCCTGGTAGTCTCTTTTCTCTTGAGGAATTGCTGTGAGATTGAATACATGATCAAGCACAGTGGGTGTGCAGTTAGGTCTTGGCACTTTTCTCAATTCTGTCAAGTGAGTCTGGCAGCTGGACCTCTTTCAGATGATAACCCAGATGGGATGATAACCCTCTCGGGAGCACTTTGAACAGCCGTTCAGTCTCCCTTAATGTTATTTCCAAGCTGCTATAGGTTCTTACTTGGTCAGCCATAACACCCATGCCTGAATGTTAATATATGGCTCCTGACTTAGCATATTTCCTGTACTCGCCTATTGCTTAGTATAACATGCTGTGTGTGTTCTCCACAATGATTTCTTTTTCTTTCTCTTCAGCTAAAGTCGAGGAGAAAACTACAAAGGACTAGTTTTGCCTTCCTGTCGCCCTTATTTCTGGCACCAGGGATCCCCAACGTGCACTGATGTTGTTGTATTTTTAACATGTTGATCTGTCAGTTCAAATGTGTTGTACACGGTGTTTGTGGCCTTGACTGACATGAAACTGTTCTGTGAGGTTTGTTTATCGACTAATAACTTAGTGATCAAACTGTGCAGTACTTTGTGCATCTGGATTTTAAAAGTTTTTTATTATGCATTATATCAAATCTACCACTGTATGAGTGGAAATTAAGACTTTATGTAGTTTTTATATGTTGTAATATTTCTTCAAATAAATCTTCTCCTATAAACCACCCTAGGTGGTGACTTGTGATTTATGAGGACTTCTGTTATACCTCACCTGAGGCTGGATGAGTATGGGCTCCTCGGTACTGAGGGTGACCCCAGAGACAATTATCTGTAATATCATTCCATGTGTCCCTGTGTGTTTGGCATAGGGGTTGACTTGTATGACTCAGGTCTGATAATAAGATGCAAGTAGAACTTGCTAGTGTGCTTTCCCGGCAAGACTTCCTAAAGGAACAGTCTTAGTTGGCCTTCCCCATAACCGTGGAGCCCTCCTTTGATCTGGAGTGGGCTGTGGTTCTGGTGGTGCAGTAGCCATCTTGTGAACATGAGGATAGAAGTCCTGGCCTGCTGTCCCCAAACAGACTTCATCTTTGTTTAAAAAATTGTTAGGTGAACTTTCTGTGCTTTTTTAGCCTCACTCAATTCTACTGAATTATAAGATCAACAGTTCTTTCCTTTAGTTTGTCTTTTGGAAAGGACTTGCTATAAAATGCCAGCTAAGCAGAAGTATATAAAGCATCAGTGACCATTCACAATTTGGAGGGCTAGTTGGTAGGATGTTAAGTAACAACTGCATCTGTACTTTCATAATGGTGCACTTGGTGGCAACTCAACAGTTATTTTACACTCAGTGAGTTACAGAAGTCTTAGTCACAAAACTGAGGACTAAGTGTAATTTGAATGCAAAGTCAACTTACTTCCTTAGGTAATTAGGTATTGACTTTCTGCTATTATAAGTAGCAGAACAGAATATAAGTAAATAGCACTGAATATCCTTATATATTCTCTTCCAGCTCCCTCAGGGAAATATAGAGAGGTTGGTCCCTGGATCATAAGTATAAATGTTTTTATATTTCTCTTCAGAACATGTCTCTGAAGGGCTTAACAGTGTCTCACCAACAGTGCCAGCTTGACTTTGGCTTTTAATCCTTGTCAACTGCATAGTGGACATCTTGTCAGCATTTTTTAATAGTGACTCAACATTTCTTGTCTAGTAGCCATGAATTTGTTCCTTATTTCCATAATGATATGTGACTGTCCTTGCTGGGTGCTGTTTGAGCAGTAGAGATTTACCCTTATGTTTTATATTGGTTCATCTCTCTACTACATAGAGATTTTAATTTATATTTGTCTGCTTTTCTGTTTCTTAGAGCCTATTTGAAAGACCATCCCTCATCCCAGGCCATAAATTGGTGTTTTCTTGTACATTTGACATCTCATTTTAACATGTAAACCACTTTCCTAAGGACAAAAATAGGGATCTTAGTTTATTTTTTGTACAGGTAACAAATATACATGGTAAATGACAGTGCAATATAGTACAAGGTAAAGTTTTTCCATCAAGTTTACTTTAAGTATAAAAATATATTCTTTTAATTTTAAGAACCACTAAAAGTATATAGTGAGTATAATGAAAAGTAGGTCTTCCACATCCACAGACACCTTGATGACTAAATCCTTTCAAGGATTGACTCCTTCCAAAGTCATTCTAAGCCTGAGTCAAAGCACGTGTCTGTCTCTTCTCTGCTACAAATGTGCCATAGATTAAAACTGCCTTAAAGGATGTCCTACCTAGGAATGTCTCACTGGTGACCCATTTTTTTTTTTTTAATGAAGTCTAATATGAAATGCACAAGTTCTAAATGTACAATTTGAATTTTGATAAATGAATACAACCCTAAAACCCACATCCTTAGCAAGCCATAGAACATTTCCATCACTCACTTTCCCCTTGCCAATAGGCAATGCTCTGGTCCAATTAATTTTGTTGCCATGGATGACTTGCTGGTTCAGTTCAGTGTGCGCTCTTTGTCCAGCATACATTTTGGGGAGTTCATCCATGTTCGTGTGTATGGTACTTCCCTTTGCTAAGCAGAAGAATGCCCCATTTTAAACTTTATCTTTTTGTGCTTGGAAGCAACTACTGTCCCTCAATTAGGCATTTGGTCAAACTGTGCAGACACTTGTACATGTGGGTGGGTCCCCATCTACAAAACATTTCTGGTAGTTGAATATCTGAGCCAAACTTTATTTTTTATCATTTTTCATTCTGTTGTATTTGTATGAGAAGGTGGATGGATGTTAGCTGAACCTATTGTGGTAATATTTTCACAATATACATACATCAAACCAGCAGGCTGTGGATTCAAACAGTGATGCATGCCAATTATTTATCAATAAAACCTGAAGATAAAAAAAAAATTCTTTCTCCATATTTTTATCAAATAGATCACATCAGACGACCGTGTTTTTTTTCAAAGTTATTTCTCACTGAGAATGTATTTTCACAAGGCCTGGCATCAAACAGCACACTTTTCTTTTAGGTGAGCCTCTTGCAAATCCACTCTACTTCCCAGGTGCCTGTCCTGCTGCTTTGGGGCCACTGCATAAGCCTGGCTGTTCTTCTAATGCACCTCTTGCTGCTGTTGCCCATTTTCACACCTATAGCTGAGCCAAACTTCAGAATTGGCACATCCTCTAAAACTAGTGGGTAGTGGTGTTTTTTTTTTTTTTTTTTTGATTTATACAAGAGCTGGGGTACAGGCCAGAGGCGCACGAGGGTGAGAGGATTCACCAGAGACAGAGCAGGTAGCAGAACAGGCAGACTGACTGAAATACACTGCTAAGGAGAGCAGTGGGCGACACAGAAGAGGTCTGCTGCGCCATGTTGGTAGCTTCTTGGCTGGTCGGGAATCGAACCCTCCCTGCAGAGGCTGCAGACAGCTTCACAGTGCTGTGCTCAATCTGCTGAGCCACCAGGGAGGCCCAAACCAGTGGGTGTTTTTTTTAATAGAAATTGCATTAAATTTAGATTTCAGGAAAACTAACATCTTTGTAGCAAATTTTCCTCTGCAAGAATAGTGCCAGTTATTTATTCAGATATTCTGTCCCTCATAGCATCTTAAAGTCATAGATACTGCAAATTTGATTCCTAGGTAAATGAGAGGTTTTCTTGTTTTCTAAACAGTGGCCCTTTGCCTACAGAAAAATTATTGATTTGTACTGGTCATTGATTGTGTATATTGTTTATGTACATTTTTAAATTAGCCAAATTCTGAATTTCCCTACTTTTGTGATACTTTTCCAGTTGGGGTCTTTGTTTCAGTTATATAATACACTATCACGAACTACCTGAAGATTTACTTCAGTGTAAGGAGTGAAAACCATGACTGTTTTCCTGTTGCAGCTCAAGCCCTGGGTCCTAATGGCCTTACCCTCAAGGGGTGAAACAAGTGAGTGACTGATTGTGAAGAACGCAGCCAGTTGCTGGCCTCCGTGCAGCCCAAGATCGTTGGTTTAGACCATACTTGTGGACCAAGAGGAGGGCGGCTGCATTTGGATGGGCTGGATGGAGGGCCTTAGCTTTCAACAGTTTCTGCCTCCCTGGCTGACTGACAGGGAACATTATTCCTTCTACCAGAGTTAAGTTCAATCTTATGCTGGGAAGGAAAGTCTGGTATTATGGAGCATTGACAGAAATATTGATTGTAGTGGATTGACATGCATTTAGTAATGAGAATCCACTGATACACAAAACCTCATTACTGTTTGAGGTGAATTAAGCAAATGCTGCACATTGAACTCATTAAAGGGGGTAAAAGAGTAAGACTTTCTCCTCTTTCTAGAAAAACTGTATGTTGAGTGATAACCAAATCATCCTTGCTGATGTGACAGCTCTACTACAGTAGAATAGCAGTTAATAAATGTAGACATACAAGGGCCTCCCTGGTGGCCTACGGGTTAAGTCTCAGGACTATCACCCTAAGGCCTGAGTTCCATCCCCGGCCAGGGAGCTAACCCACATGGCGCAGCAGACCTCTCCTGTCTCACCGTTGCTCCCCTCAGCAATGTATTTCAGTAGATCCACCTGTTCTGCTCCCTACTTTGTCTCTAGTGAATCCTCTCATCCTGGCACCCCTGGCCTACACCCCAGTTCTTCTATGCAAAAAAAAAAAAAACCAAAGCAAATATAGCTAACTTAAAAAAATGAATGTAGACATGCAGATTAAAGTTACAAATACCACCTCACACCTGTGAGAATTGCACATAGAAAAAATACCCACCAGCAATAGGTGTCGGAGAGGATGTGGGGAAAAGAGCCAATTACACTGTTGGGAATGTAAACTGGTGAAATCATGAAAAGCAATCTGGATTTACCTTAAAAAAATAGTAACATGTACCTGAAACTACACACAACGACCGAGCAATCCCGTTCTTGGGCATATATCCACAGAATATGAAGCCATCAACAAAAACCCCAGTATGCTCTACAATATGTACAGCAGTGTTTTTTTGTTTTTTTTTTAAAAAAAGATTTATTTATGCTTACAAGAATCGGGTACAGGCCAGAGGTGCGGGGTGAGAAAATTCACCAGAGAGTGGGGAACAGAACAGGCAGGCTGAAATACATGCTGAGGGGAGCAGCGGGTGAGACAGGAGAGGTCTGCTTCACCATGTGGCTGGCCGGGGGATCGAACTCATGCTACAGAGGCTGCAGAAAGCTTCAAGGGTTGCATCTTAACGCCTTGCGCCACCCTTCATCATTGGTGGATCCTGGGTTGTTTGCACCTTCTGGCCATTGTGACTTGACTAATGCTGGAATGAATATAAGTGTACACACTTCTGAGTCCCTGCTTTCAGTTCTTTTGCATACATGTTTAAGAGTGGAGTTGTTGGATCATAGCTTAACACTCAACTTAGTGAGTGTTCTCTCCAGCTGCACCATTGTATAATCATACCAGCAATGTACAAGGTTTCTATTTTCTTTCCATTCCTGTCAACACGTGTTATTTTCTGGTTTTTAAGTAATAGCCATCCTAATGGATGTAAAGTATCTCTTTGTGGGTTTGATTTGCTGCAAGTTTGTGTATGTATTCATGTGTTTTTTATTTTTAAAAATCATGGTAAGATACATAGAATGTATTACTTTCGCCATTTTTTAAGTTTTCTTTTAAGGATTTATTTATTCATGCATACAAGAACCAGAGTATGGGCCAGATGTGCGGGAGGGTGAGAGGATTCACCAGTGACAGAGCGGGGAACAGAACAGGCAGACTGACAAAATACACTGCTGAGGGGAGCAGCGGGCGCGGCAGGAGAGGTCTGCTGCACCATGTGGGTAGCTTCCCAACCCTCCGGGATCAAACCTGTGCTGCAGAGGCTGCAGACAGCTTCACAGTGCTGCGCTCAACCACCTGTGCCACCAGGGAGGCCCCCCTTTTTTTTGCATAGAAGAGCTGGGGTATAGGCCAGAGGTGTGGGGGGTTGGGGAGAGGTTAGAAGATTCGCCAGAGACAGAGTTGGGAGCAAAACAGGTGGATTTACTGAAATACACTACTGAGGGGAGCAGCACGTGAGTAAAGAGAAGTCTGCAGCACATGTGTGGGTTAGTTCCCTGGCTGGGGATCCAACTCAGGCCTTCCCTGTGGGCTGTTGCAGTGATAGCACTGAGACTTAACTCCTAGGCCACCAGGGAGGCCCTAACTTTGCCATTTTTAAGTGTAAGACTCAGTGGTATTGAGCACATTCACATTGTTGCACAACCATCTCCAGAACTCATCTTGCAAAACTGAAACTGTCCCTTGAAACACTAACCCCCCATCCTGTATCTCCTCAGCCCCTGGCATCCACTTTCCTACTTTCTGTTTCTATAAATTAGACCCCCTCCAGGGATCTCTTATAAGTGAAATCGCAGACTGTCCTTTTGAGACGGACTTATTTCACCCACCATAATGTCTTCAAGGTTCATCTATATTGCAGGCTGTGTCAAAGTTTCCTTTTTTAAAGGTGAATTCTATTACAGGGTTCGCATATGCATTTTGTTTATCCATTTATCCATCAGTGGGCACTAGGGTTGCTTCCACCTTTTGGCCACAGTAAATTGTGCTGTTGTGAACATGGGTGTGCAAATATATGTTTGCATCCCAGTTTTTGATTCCTTTGGGTACATGCCCAGAAGTGGAATTGAGGGATATTTGGTGATTCTATGTTTAATTTTTTGAGGTGTGCTTGCACCACAGGCTCCCAAAGGTGCCCACATCCCCACAAAGTCTCCAGAATAGTGGCTCCCCAAGTGAGGACAGAAAGACTGGCATGTCCCCTGGCTGTTATTTGCATAACCCTGGGGTCCTCCTGTGCCATTAGTACAAAGAAATCTGAAACAGAATCTGTCAAAATAAATAAAGGGGCCTCTTTTGTAGCCTACAGGTTAAGTCTCAGTGCTACCACCACCACAGTCCTCCACTGCCGCCTGAGTTAGATCCCAGGCCAGGGAGCTACCCACATGGCGCAGCAGACCTCTCCTGTCTCGCCCGCTGTTCCCCTCAGCAGTGTATTTCAGTAAATTCTCCTGTTCTGCTCCCCACTCTGTCTCTGGTGAATCCTGTCTCTCACACACACACCCCCATTCCCCACACCTCTGGCCTATACCCAGTTCTTCCACACAAAAATAAATAAAATCTTTAAATAAATAAATAAAAACAGTTGGGGTAGAGTGATTCTCATCCTTTTTTGTTCCTTGCCAGATTTTATTATTAAAGTGCACAATTCTTGTATGTGCAACTGGATCATTTTTTACATATATATTTGTTTTTCGTCAGTACACTACAAGTTTATTGAGGGAAGAAGAACAAGGAAAGAGAGACCTTTGCATAGACACAGACAGGCAGCCTTAAAAGGCAAGAGCTGCAGTTTTGGAAAAGGTTAAGAAAGGGACATCTGCACGGATACAGGCAGGCAGTCTTAAAGAACATGAACTGCCATTCTTTACATATGTATTTGCCTGTGCTTTTAACCTAACAGATCAAGATGTAGGAAATTCCCATCATCCTGGAAGCTGCCTTCCCAGACTGGTCTCCTCCCTGCTAAGAGGTCAACATAGTTTTGATTTCTGTTACTATAGATTAGTTTTAAGAATTTCACCTAAAGGAATTATGCTCAGAAATAAGCCAGAAGGAAAAAGAAAAATATCGGGTGGTTTCACTTATAGCAGGAATATAGGGGAACCAAATAAGACATCAGTGTAAAAAAAAAAAAATAACAGTGCAAAACACAACAAAGCAAAAACAGGCAAATATAAATCGGAGACATCCTGCAGGGGAGGAGGAGGGAGAGGGAGCAGAGGGAGGGAGGGAGGAGCACAGGGGACTGAGGTGATGGTGCATGGGTGCTTTGGTGAAGGAAACTCTATGGGGACTACACCTGAGG